GCCCATACCTGATTATGAACAAATATATGATCAAAGTATGATCAGAAGAAAATCTAGAGCAATGATACCTTGATTAATTTCGCGCTTATAATGAACAACGCAAATCTAAAATAATCGAACTCAAAATGACCTAACTTTCCTTTACGACTGGGCTCAATATTTTGCTTGTGTTTAATTTAGGGTTAAAATGGTAATGAATTAGAACCGCTAAATTAAAAATGTTCAAATTGAATAGTCAAAAAAAATTCTTTTATTTAGGGAACCTCACAAAAGGGCCCAATCATTATTATTATTGACAGATATGAGTTTCGAGAGAAGCGCGGTACAAAGGCAACAATACACTTTATTCACATGTGGAGGCGTTATAACATGAAACAGCACCGTGCATTGTCACGATCTCAGCGCAGGACGCTCAGAAGCTCGATAATTAGTTCCGCAAACGAAGAAGATAATCAAAAATCAATTGAACCCGGTAAACAGCCTGATCATCGCAGCTAGTTTCTTATTGGTGCCGGACAACAAAAAACCCATTTGTCCTTGCCACCTCGGTAGGCGTAAATTCGAAATCTAAACAGAAAAAAAACTTCCCTGTCCACCATAACCACAGATAAATTTCATTTCTAAATACCGGATCAATTTAAGTATTTTTGTTTTTTGATAGCTGTACCAAATGCATAATGCTTCCTTGCGATATTCGGAACCTCGAAGCACTCAAATTGTTCAACAAAACCTACAGTGTAGACATCATTTTCAAGATTTGTCCCAGTCACTTTTACCAGATCTACAAAAAACATATACAGATTGGCGAGTTTTATCCACATAGAGTCTACGCCCTGCTCAGCAAAAAGCGCTTCTCAACCTGGAACACATTTTGAACCGCACTTGATTGTTTATCGGTGACATAACTCCGGAAAGATTTTTGATCAAAATTGAAGTTGTGGCGAAGGGTGCTCTTGCGTCTCATTACCAGTTTGACATGAAGGGGTGTTATTATTCTTACCCCTATCAAAAGTGTAAGCAGAAAATATCAGAGTTGGGCCTTAAAAAGCATTACGAATCGAACAGCGAGCTTGTCTAAGCGCTGAATATGATACCTTCGTTTAGTTTTTTTAACGGATCAAAAGTGGAAATAGCGTTCGATTTAGTAAGAGAAAATATTCAGTGTTGCAACCAAACTGGATTTATCACAAAACGATCAAAAACTAGACGAGTTTAAGACTCAATTCCAAAAAACTTATGTAGAAGGGAGAATGATTAGCCAAAAAACAGTATCCGATTTCGTTATGAAACCATAATCAAGAAATTGTGTTCAATCTAGCCCAAACCACAAATTCAGTTGAAGGATGGCATCTTCAAAGCAGCCATTCTTCAATTTTCTAAGCATAAGACCCTTGATGACCCTTGAAAATTCCATTTAGTTAGCTTTAAACCAAATTGTAACAATTTCTACGCCGAATTAAATCTCCGCTTGCGCGTCAATAGAGCAAAATGTCACCTGTTATTAGACCCAAATCGGCCAAGTCGGATTTTTCAAACCGGCATAACATAACAAAAAAAGATCTTAGATGGAATAGTCTTTTGAGTTTAAATTCAGATGGTGTAAGAATTGATGAACCTTTCATAAAAAAAAAATTAATTTTTTTGAATAACATGTACACGCTATTTAAAAGTACACAGTGATATATTTTGCTTTCAACAACGTAATACCCTAATTGAATAGCCTGCCTCAATTTAAATTGGAAGAATTCTTAAGCCGACTTATTTCGCGGCGTACGAATGATTTACGGGGGTCTTTTCTCATGCGCTATGAAAGAAATTTTCCGCCACTTTCTCTAGAAGTCGGAGCAATTAACATAAATCGCGGTATATGTTGATGTTTAGATATAGATTTCACAAGCAAACACTTACCATGTTAAATTGAGCCCACCATTGTTTTGAGAGTGGAAACCACAAAAATGATTTTTCACGGATGAAAAATATCGAGGCTTTTTATATCATTATTCATGATATCAGAAGGCTAATTTTACTTTAGTTTTTCGACAACCAGTTCCAAATGAATAAAAAATCATTTGCAACAACAGCAAGAAAAAGCAATTTGACAAAGTATAAACATGGAATTTTGGCACTGAAAAAGGATGGGGCATTTTGACGGAGATTTTCAGACATAAGTTTTCAAACTGGAAAAAAAAACATTTGAATTTTTATGCACGGTTCTTTTTGTAGTCATGGGTAGTTCTGGCATGAGGTTTTTGACTTTTGGCTGAGATTATATTTGATAATTTTTTACTCAGATTTTCAGATCGCAGAAAACGCACCGGTGATGAACACAATTTACCAGCACAAACCAGTTAAAAAATTTGCGTATAAACCTAGAGTACACATTTTTACGGGATATATACCCTGCAAAGAAAAAGATATACTTCAAGATGATCTTTTATCATGGTTTCAGATTGATGTTTGGCTTGAAATTAATTAGGCAAAAAAGCCAATCATCTCTGAACTACAGCTTTAAGCAAAACTCCTAAAAAATTTCCATTGCTTATCATCGCAAAATCAACAATTTTTTTGTATCAAGTTTATTTAATATTTTTTTGCCATTTAATAATTCAGATAGCAAAAGTGAGAAAACGGGGCAAATGCGGCGGAGTTAAGGGAAAGTTTAAATAAACTGAATATTTTCGTCGTAAAAATTAAATATATGTAGGAGTAGAGCAAAAAAAAAACTTTTTCAAGCTAGACAACAGACAGTTATTGCTGGCTGGCTAGAACCTTTTTCAGCTGCTTTCGAAGGTGACAATACTTTCAGCCTATCTGACAAGCTGTTAGCTGCAGAGAAGCATAATTTAACAGGACAGAAACCCAACTTTCTATCAAAAACAAGGTTGGCCCAGCTGCTGTTCAAGTATCTCAGATTTTTAAAACTACGTCGATTTTTACAGAAATGTATAAATTTTCAGTTATTTACTTACATGAACGATTTTTTGTAAATCTTTTGTTCATTGAAACAAAACCGGCCAAATCATTAAAATCAAAAAACATGATTCGCCCATCAATACATTCTAAAAAACTGACACAATTGTTAAGGGACCTATAGGTCCAATGGTGCTATCCCAGTATAAAAAAACTTGAGGGGAGATTGTAAACTTGATTAATTAACTGCCCTCACTGGAACTGCCCAAAAGTAATTACTATTACCATTATGATCTTAAAAAGAAAAATCTGTCATCGCCAACTTTTTTTTCTGTACAGCTATTTTTTAAACGCCGGACAGGACACTAAATGAGAATAAAAACTCCTTTCGACTATTTTGTCAGAAATTGAACTAAAACTTTAGAGAAGAATTTAATTTAGTACAACTTAGACCTTTCTCACTTTACTTCTAGTTAAGAACTTAGGTTAGATATTTCAGACATCATAGTTCGAAGCTAAGTCGAGTTTCTTCTAAAAACAAGCAGGGAAGGGTGGAAAGAATCAGGTAGTTTTTAGTTCTTTTGAACTCAATTTAGTATTTGATTTTTGCGACTATCATATTTTTTTCACTTTTAGGATGGTTTAGCCAATTATAAAATATAACAAGGATAACCGGTTACTGTGCAAGTAGCACAGACTGTTCCGACCAGTCTTAAAAAATTACAAAATTATACTTTCAATTAGTGTAGTTTTTTGGTTTGGTGTGATAACGGATAACTGAGCGAAAAAATAGAGCTGAGGCTTTTCCGCCTGACATGTAAAATATGCGAATTGGAAAACACTTTTTGAAGACGTACAATTTTTTTTTTCATTTTTTTGCTTTTCTTGTTATTCAAATAATTTTTCAGGAATTTTGTATTCGGGTGTGTTGTAATTTTTCTTGTTAGTTTTTTCTCTTTGTTTTCCACGCAAAATCAGTTACCACAAACAACTATCGGAAAAGGTTGAGTGATATATCATATTAAAGCCCTTTTAGTCGTGATTTGGACATTTTTGAAGTTTTTGAAGTTTACCCAAATTTTTGAAGTTTTTGATTCCTAGGTGAAACTAAAAACTCCAAAAACTAACTTCATAAGAATAAAACTAAATTTTCAAAGCTTAAATTAAGCATAAATCAACTAAGTTAAGCCTGCCCATTGGCTCGAAATTAGCCGAAAAATCCAAAAATTCAAACCGGTTTTTCTCGACACAGGGAAACTTTTTCAAACTTTTCAAATCACGACTAAAAGGGCTTTAATATGATATATCACTCAACCTTCTCCGATAATTATTTGTGGTAACTGATTTTGTGTAGAAAACAAAAAAAGAAAAAAATTAACAAAAAAAGTAAAACACATCCGAATACAATTTTCCTCCCCATTTTCAATGGTCAGGACTATAATCGTGTTCCAAAATATTACTTTTACTGTTGTTGCATGTTTAGCTATACAACAAACAGGGGCCTAAAAATGAAAAGAGCTATTCATTCACATTGTGGGGCGCAAATGCTACCAAGAGCTTCTATTCTAGTTAACCATATGTAGTTATAAGTTGGTTTTTTAATAAGAACCCCATTTAAATCGCTTGAGTTTCGGGTTCGATTTGAACTCGGAAGACAAAGCAAGGAAAGATGGTGGTTGCACTTCCTGCTTCAGTATAGTCATTTTGTGGCTACTTTTGCCCCTCATCCCACTGTTTCATTCAAACGAGGTCTGTAAGCAAGGTCTGTTTTGCCAGCGTAGCGGTTGTAATTGTTTTGGGAAGTCTCTTCCACTTTGCTATGTTACAGTTTAGCTATAAAATTATAAACACTCAACTTACCACTCAGTTCGCAAGAGTACAACACTTTCAAGTACTGCAACCCTTCCTGACATTCGGTCACGAACCCAAGTTTCTCAGCATCTCCATCAAGAACGCAACTTTTTTTTCCATCACACCTGTTCCGAGAAACGATTTCAAAATTCAAAATTCTACGACATTCTATTATTGTATGGAGTTCTATTATAATAACTAAAAAAAATCTATAGTTTATTGTATTATGGCACAATTGCTCACCTATTGCTAACTGCAGAAAAAGCATGGTTGTCATTAGCGCAAGGTGGAAAGAACTGGATCTGGGAAACTGGGGAGCAATATCCCCTTTCATCAAGTCCGTAGAAAACCCAAGCTATTTCAACTTCGTATCCTGTTTCGCAAGATATGCTATCTGAATCGGACTCGCAAACGAGCACCGCATGCAGCACTAAAATGAAAAATCACTTAAATTAAATTTAGTTAATACTGGAACAACAGCTGGCTGAATTATATTTTTTTCCCAAATCGTTCAGATATGGAAGATAAAATAGGAAATATTTAGGTGATATTGATCATGACTCTTCTTACAAATTATTGTCTTAATAGTCTTCGCGACTATTTGTGCTGAGACTGATTAACCCGGGTCGAGGTCCGCGATTGAAGGAAAGACTTTGCAGTACTCGCCGCATACCGTTTTAGAATGATAATCGTAGTCCCGCCGCGGGCTTAAGTCGCGCCGACAGTTTTTTTGTTAAGTCGCGCCGCCAAAGTTTTTCCTTAAGGCGAACCGCCCAAGTTTTTTCTGAAGACGCGCAGCCAACGTTTTTCCTGAGTCACGTTTTCAGTTTTTATCAGGTCGCGCCGTCAGTTTGTTTAAAATCACGTCGTCAATCTTTTCTTAGTTTTTAAAAAGTTCGAACATTTTATTACTTATTTTAAAACACTCTTTCGTGGTCCTAAATCTGCAAACAATGCAATTCTCATCTTGCATCTATATTAAGATTTGAAATGTGTCTCTTACCTGAACTTTCGTGTTCTGCTTCTACTTCATGTCCTTTGTCTTTTCCGGAATTCAGTCTTGGAGCTGCGGTATTTCCTTCTGTTACTTTTCCTCCGATTTCTGAAGGATTTTCTTTTACAGGTCTTTCGACAGGCGTTTCCTTATCATGAGGGAAAGTTTCAGTAGTTGCTATTCTTGTAATATCAGCATTCTCAGTTATGTGGAGTCCTGGAGTTTGTGTTGTTGATGTATTCTCGTTTGTTGCTGTTGTGGCAATATCAGCATACTCAGTTATGTTGGCTTCTGGAAATGGTGTTGCCAATTTCTCGATTGTTGCTGTTGTTGCATTATCAGCATTCTCAGTTATGTGCGCTCCTGGAAATGGTGTTGACAATTTCTCGATTGTTGCTGTTGTTGCATTATCAGCATTCTCAGTTATGTGGGCTCCTCCTGAAGTTTGTGTTGTTGGCGATTTCTCGGTTGTTGCTGTTGTTGCATTATCAGCATTCTCAGTTATGTGGGCTCCTCCTGAAGTTTGTGTTGTTGGCGATTTCTCGGTTGTTGCTGTTGTTGCAATATCAGCATTCTCTGTTACATGGGCTCGTGGAAATGGTGTTGACGATTTATTGTATGTTGCTGTTGTTCCAATATCAGAAATTTCAGTTATGTGGGCTCCTGGAAATGGTGTTGACAATTTCTCGATTGTTGCTGTTGTTGCATTATCAGCATTCTCAGTTATGTGGGCTCCTCCTGAAGTTTGTGTTGTTGGCGATTTCTCGGTTGTTGCTGTTGTTGCATTATCAGCATTCTCAGTTATGTGGGCTCCTCCTGAAGTTTGTGTTGTTGGCGATTTCTCGGTTGTTGCTGTTGTTGCAATATCAGCATTCTCTGTTACATGGGCTCGTGGAAATGGTGTTGACGATTTATTGGATGTTGCTGTTGTTCCAATATCAGAAATTTCAGTTATGTGGGCTCCTGGAAATGGTGTTGACAATTTCTCGGTTATTGCTGTTGTTGCAATATCAGCATTCTCAGTTATGTGGAGTCCTGGAGTTTGTGTTGTTGATGTATTCTCGTTTGTTGCTGTTGTGGCAATATCAGCATACTCAGTTATGTTGGCTTCTGGAAATGGTGTTGCCAATTTCTCGATTGTTGCTGTTGTTGCATTATCAGCATTCTCAGTTATGTTCGCTCCTGGAAATGGTGTTGACAATTTCTCGATTGTTGCTGTTGTTGCAAAATCAGCATTCTCAGTTATGTGGGCTCCTCCTGAAGTTTGTGTTGTTGACGATTTCTCGGTTGTTGCTGCTGTTGCAATATCAGCATTCTCAGTTATGTGGGCTTCTGGAAATGGTGTTGACAATTTCTCGATTGTTGCTCTTGTTCCAATATCAGCATTCTCAGTTATGTGCGCTCCTGGAGTTTGTGTTGTTGGCGATTTCTCGGTTGTTGCTGTTGTTGCAATATCAGCATTCTCAGTTATGTGGGCTCCTGGAAAGTGTGTTGTCAATTTCTCGGTTGGTGCAGTTGCTGCATTATCAGCGTTCTCAGTTATGTTAACTCCAGCAGTTTGTGTGCTTGTAGCCAGTATAAAATCATTTGTAGTCCTCTCATTGTAAAAATTATATCGGAAAAAGTCTTCGGAATAGTTTTTTACAGCTTTCGTCGAGGTTTCTGAAAGAACTTCGCTCTCGGTTGTGTTTTTCTCAGTCGGATTATCTTGTGTCGAATTGTTTTCAGCTCCAAATACCAGCTCATTGAAGTCAATAAACTTGGGTGGGAAGCATGACAAATCAGCGACAGTTTTGCATTCCACGAAATCTCCATTTGGGTCTCGAAACTCAGCTAAAAACAAATTCATAAAACTCAAAAGTTACTTCGTTGAGATCATCTATCATAAGCTCTTATGCAGGCGAACTTATTTGACAATCTACAATTTTACTTCTTTAATTTTTTTTGTTTTTAAAAATTATGAAACTGGCACCCAGCTATCAGAAAAAAAACATGGGTCGATATATTTTAATTGAAAAGTCAAGTTTAATTTTTCGATTAATTAATAGTCGTGTTTTGTTAGCCAACCAGAATTTGATCTCACGACCTCCCTGAAAACAGAAATTATGTTAGTTAACTTCAAACTATGTCAAGTTGACATAGTTTGAAGTTATTAATATTGTGTCTTGTTGGTGTTTTCGGGGAGGTCGTGAAATCAAATTGTGGTTGGCTCAAAAAAGACGACTATTAAATTATCGAAAAACTAAACTTTGCTTTTCGATTAAAAAATTTAGAACAAGTCTTGGGAGAATTTTGACCATGATTAGATAAACCAATTATTCTATTCAGCCATGAATCTTTACCTTTTTATGGGATTTTTTGGATGTATTTTTCAAATAAACAAGGTTTTTCTTGAAACAAATGAAGAATTCTCCAGGGGTTGCCAAAAAATCAACCTTCATAGTCAAAATATTCCTCCCCCTCCCTGTTCACAAAAACACAAACGGCTGAACGGCTTAGTTGTATTTGCATTTTTGATTGTTGAGATTTGGTATGGCTAACGGAAACATCCGATGTTGTGATTGCACTTGTTAATGGCACAGGTTGCTCTGTAGTTGTCAGCGCACAACAGATACCCACAGTCGTCATCACACCCCTGAACTTCAAGTCGACCATTGCTACAGAAACCATCTGGAAGAAAAACAACAGTTTTCTGAAAATCACAGCTTTAGAAAATGATTCTCGCGAAAATTGCAAGAAAGAAAAAGTGGTTTCTTTCTATTATCGGAAACTGATTTCTTAAAAGCTATATAACCAGATAATTTGAGTTTAACTGTTTCTATAATTCAACAAAAAAGTAGGAAACTAAAACAGAGCGTAAAAAAGACTTTTTTTAAAAAGAAATTTTTTAATTAGGCATAAAAATACACATTTAGACAAAATACAAGGTTTAAGTTTCAAATTTTTGAGATGTTTTTTTTAATATTATTTTAAAGAAGGATTTGCAAAAAGTGATACAAAACAACTTTTTGTGCGTTATAAATTCGATATTATTTGTCCGAGATTATTGAAAAGACCACCACTTGAAACCATAAGTTCGAAGTTTTTGACTCAACCGAGGTATTCAAAAGTGTGTAAGCCACAAAATGGGTCAACTCACGCTTCAACTTGCAGTAGTAGTGCACCTGCAGGAATTGAGTGCCCACTGGACATTCGTTATCGAAGCCAAGTTTGTCAGCAGATGCATCAACAATACAAAAATCCATGTACTCACAACTGCAACAGTTACAAAAAAAAACAATTATTAGGAATTTTAACAAAAATTATCGAAAACTAATGAAAATAGCAGCCTAATTGATCAGAATGTCGTAAATATCGAAAAAAAAATTGAAAATACTTTCACATTTAATACCAACGATACATAAGTAAGCGTTTGATGTGCAATCCGCACAGAATATTCCTAAACAAAGAAATCGAAGTTTCTAATGACCACTTGAATAACGTCAAACTGTTTTATTTTATAAAATGTTTTGCTCAATCCAATCCGCCGTTTTAAGCGTTCAATAAAATTGCCGAGCTCGAAACTCAGGCATATTGTTTTGTGTAGTCGGAACAAAACCCAGTTTCTAACCCATTTCTCACTGCATTTTCTGCATGGTTGAAATCACCACAAGGAGCAAGAAACATGAGGTTCGATTGTGATTGGCATAATCCATGTCGGTCGACGCCGAGGAATGCAGACACAATCCTTATTTGATAGCCTGTCGGACATGAGATGAACACTTGGGATCCTTCACAAGCGTAGTCCGAATAAGGCACTGAAACAAAAACCATCGATGTTTATCTGATCATCTAGTGATTATAGTGTTATGGGAGAGCAATTGGGTCGACCTAAAAAAAGATCGACAAAATTTTCGAAAACTTTTTAAAAACCCGTCCCCCCCTCGAGAAAATCCTAGATCTGCCCCTGTTTCAAAAACTTTTTTTTCGCTTAAGGAGCCTAAACGCAATTCATTAAGTTATAACTGCATATTTAAAGGTTTGAAGCAATTTTTGAGAGTTATAAAGCAAAACTTGCCATAAAATCGATTTATTCAAAAATGCATTGGTTGAAACGGTCCATACCATTTCCATAGAAGAAAAAAATCGTATGGAATTAGCTTGACTAGCATTTTTTTATTAATTGAAATGTATGACTAGCATTTTTGTCAAACCAGGTTGAGGTCTAGACTTGGGTGTTTTGTGCCTAACATTTTCCATTTGCTAAACTGTTTCAACATGCGTTCAGTTTTTGAGAACTTTATTTATTCATGTCCAGATTTTTGAGACCCAGTCTGCATCATCATTTTTTCATTTGTATTTTTCAAATTTATTTCTGGAATGATATAACGTTATATGTCTATAACGCCTCTCACAGAAAAATTTCAGGTTAAAAGCCGTGGACTGTGTTTTCAACAATTTTAGGTATATGTTATTATCTGAAAACCAAAAATAACGGAAAAACTTTATTGTGATTTTGATTTTTCTGTTTAACAGAACTGTCTGGACTAGCAAGAATTTAACTTTTTGCTACCAACAAACAAACAAAAAGGTTTGTTTGAGAAAAAGTTGCATCGAAAGTTGAATCTTGACCTGCATGAAGTTTCATCTACATTGGAAAATTTCAGCCACATAGATGAGACTTTGCTGATAGCGTTTTGGTGTTCGTACAGTTTCTACAAAGGATCAGTCGCGAAAGTTCCAGCATTCCGTTTTCTTCACAACTATCTGGAATTAGTTTGTAAAACTTAACAAGACTGTTTGTATCAAGGGCGAAAACCTGAATGTTCCGACTACCTTTTAAGGTCTATGAAGCAGTAATAACAAGAAAAAATTAAATGTAACAGAAAAAATTGTTTAAAATTTAATTTTTTTTAATCATCCCCCCACACGCCATATTAATTTCAAAGTGTAGAATTCGCTCCTACGTCAAATCAATTATGCCAATAAAGCTTCCTTCAACCAATTTAGAACGATTTCTAAGACGGATTAAATCTCCGCCCACGCGTTAATAGCGCGAAACATATCGCGCGTTAATTGTCCCAAATTGGCGAAAAGGGCATTGTTTAAACACCTATAACTTTTTTTAATCACAGCTAAATTAGCTTTTCAAATGTAAACTCAGGGCAATACTTTTTGAATGAAATTTTTAAAAAATCCGTCAAAATGGCTAGTTAAAAAGTCAAAATTTGTCTGAAAAAAAAACCACCCCGAACACAATTATTCCGTTACTTTCGTAACGAAAGTCGGCACAACTACTGCTCGTATCAGGGCTACGCTTCGAATATTCTGCTTTTTAAGTTCCATCGAGTAGTGTTCGCTTCTAAAAAAATTGAAAATTTCAAAAATTATGAAAAACATCATCCCAAACGCTATGTAAAGTGCATGAAGTGTATTCCGCCTATAGCAAAGTATTAAACAGTCCAAATAGCATGCCTGAGTCCAATTTGGAACATTTTCTAAGAGTAAATAATTCTCCTCTTACGCGTTAATAGCACGAAATAGATCGTGTGTTAATTGTCCTAAATAGCCCAAACTGGCAATCCGTAAGCCCCTTAACGTTTAAAAAACTGATCACAAAGGAATTTTTCTTAAGATAACGCCAGGGTCATAATTTTTAGATTAAACAAAAAAAATCTTTCAAAATGGCTTGTTAAAATTGTCTGAAGAAAAAACCAACTCGAGCACAAATCTTCCGTTATTTTCTTCAAAACTTCAATGGCAAACTTGATGCACTTTTTTCAATTGGGAGCTCAGCGCTCATAATGGATCAGATAGCATAAAAAATACCGTCAAAAACAGGACGAGCTCAAGGTTTCTGATCCTTTTTTGTCAATTGAAATAACATGAGTGCTCATTTGAAGTGATTGTTGGTTTAAAGATTTGTCAAACATCAACATTAGTTAGGAACAAGAGACTCCTCGTATCAGGGCAAAGCCCTGAAAGATCCCACTGCATTTTAGAGTCTATGGAGTAACAATCGCTTTAATTACGTTTATGAAAAATTCAAAAAAAAAAGTTGAATTTTTTGTGAAAATCATCACCCCACATGCTTTTTAAGTGAAAGATTTCGCCAAAATAATGAATCGAATGCTTCTAACCAATTTGGATCGACTTCTAAGATGAATTGAATCTCTTCTTACACGTTATCAGCATGAAATTTTTCGCTCAGCACGAAACAATTGGTGCTAATAATAGGGAGTGCCTGTATTTAGACAACCGCGTATTCATACTCGTTAGTATTAAGACAAATACTGTATGAACCAATCAGAATAGAGAAAAGACATAAATAATCCGCAATAAATAATAATTATTTATTTATTTCTTCTTTGTCTCGATTCTGATTGGTTGAAACAGTATTCGTCTAAATACTGAGGAGTCTGAATACGCGGTTGTCTAAATACTGCTATGTAGCCTAATAATAGTAATCAAAGTTATCATATGATATATCAGTACTCACGTGATATATCTTGTTACATTTTAGCTTAATTGTCCCAAATTGGCGAAAAGGGCCTTGTTTAAACACCTATAACTTTTTTTTAATCACAGCTAAATTAGCTTTTCAAATGTGAACTCAGGGCAATACTTTTTGAATGAAATTTTAAAAAAATCCGTCAAAATGGCTAGTTAAAAAGTCAAAATTTGTCTGAAAAAAAAACCACCCCGAACACAATTATTCCGTTACTTTCGTAACGAAAGTCGGCACAACTACTGCTCGTATCAGGGCTACGCTTCAAATATTCTGCTTTTTAAGTTCCATCGAGTAGTGTTCGCTTCTAAAAAAATTGAAAATTTCAAAAATTATGAAAAACATCATCCCAAACGCTATGTAAAGTGCATGAAGTGTATTCCGCCTATAGCAAAGTATTAAACAGTCCAAATAGCATGCCTGAGTCCAATTTGGAACATTTTCTAAGAGTAAATAATTCTCCTCTTACGCGTTAATAGCACGAAATAGATCGTGTGTTAATTGTCCTAAATAGCCCAAATTGGCAATCCGTAAGCCCCTTAACGTTTAAAAAACTGATCACAAAAGAGATTTTCTTAAGATAACGCCAGGGTCATAATTTTTGGATTAAACAAAAAAAATCTTTCAAAATGGCTTGTTAAAATTGTCTGAAGAAAAAACCAACTCGAGCACAAATCTTCCGTTATTTTCTTCAAAACTTCAATGGCAAACTTCATGCACTTTTTTCAATTGGGAGCTCAGTGCTCATAATGGATCAGATAGCATAAAAAATACCGTCAAAAACATGACGAGCTCAAGGTTTCTGATCCTTTTTTGTCAATTGAAATAACATGAGTGCTCATTTAAAGTGATTGTTGGTTTAAAAATTTGTCAAACATCAACACTAGTTAGGAACAAGAGACTCCTCGTATCAGGGCGAAGCCCTGAAAGATCCCATAGCATTTTAGAGTCTATGGAGTAACAATCGCTTTATTAAGGTTTATGAAAATTTCAAAAAAAAAGTTGAATTTTTTGTGAAAATCATCACCCCACATGCTTTTTAAGTGAAAGATTTCGCCAAAATAATGAATCGAATGCTTCTAACCAATTTGGATCGACTTCTAAGATGAATTGAATCTCTTCTTACACGTTATCAGCATGAAGTTTTTCGCTCAGCACGAAACAATTGGTGCTAATAATAGGGAGTGCCTGTATTTAGACAACCGCGTATTCATACTCGTTAGTATTAAGACAAATACTGTATGAACCAATCAGAATCGAGAAAAGACATAAATAGTCCACAATAAATAATAATTTTTTATTATTTTCTTCTTTGTCTCGATTCTGATTGGTTGAAACAGTATTCGTCAAAATACTGAGGAGTCTGAATACGCGGTTGTCTAAATACTGCTATGTAGCCTAATAATAGTAATCAAAGTTATCATATGATATATCAGTACTCACGTGATATATCTTGTTACATTTTAGCTTAATTGTCCCAAATTGGCGAAAAGGGCCTTGTTTAAACACCTATAACTTTTTTTTTAATCACAGCTAAATTAGCTTTTCAAATGTAAACTCAGGGCAATACTTTTTGAATGAAATTTTAAAAAAATCCGTCAAAATGGCTAGTTAAAAAGTCAAAATTTGTCTGAAAAAAAACCACCCCGAACACAATTATTCCGTTACTTTCGTAACGAAAGTCGGCACAACTACTGCTCGTATCAGGGCTACGCTTCAAATATTCTGCTTTTTAAGTTCCATCGAGTAGTGTTCGCTTCTAAAAAAATTGAAAATTTCAAAAATTATGAAAAACATCATCCCAAACGCTATGTAAAGTGCATGAAGTGTATTCCGCCTATAGCAAAGTATTAAACAGTCCAAATAGCATGCCTGAGTCCAATTTGGAACATTTTCTAAGAGTAAATAATTCTCCTCTTACGCGTTAATAGCACGAAATAGATCGTGTGTTAATTGTCCTAAATAGCCCAAACTGGCAATCCGTAAGCCCCTTAACGTTTAAAAAACTGATCACAAAGGAATTTTTCTTAAGATAACGCCAAGGTCATAATTTTTAGATTAAACAAAAAAAATCTTTCAAAATGGCTAGTTAAAATTGTCTGAAGAAAAAACCAACTCGAGCACAAATCTTCCGTTATTTTCTTCAAAACTTCAATGGCAAACTTGATGCACTTTTTTCAATTGGGAGCTCAGCGCTCATAATGGATCAGATAGCATAAAAAATACCGTCAAAAACAGGACGAGCTCAAGTTTTCTGATCCTTTTTTGTCAATTGAAATAACATGAGTGCTCATTTAAAGTGATTGTTGGTTTAAAGATTTGTCAAACATCAACACTAGTTAGGAACAAGAGACTCCTCGTATCAGGGCAAAGCCCTGAAAGATCCCACTGCATTTTAGAGTCTATGGAGTAACAATCGCTTTAATAACGTTTATGAAAAATTCAAAAAAAAAGTTGAATTTTTTGTGAAAATCATCACCCCACATGCTTTTTAAGTGAAAGATTTCGCCAAAATAATGAATCGAATGCTTCTAACCAATTTGGATCGACTTCTAAGATGAATTGAATCTCTTCTTACACGTTATCAGCATGAAATTTTTCGCTCAGCACGAAACAATTGGTGCTAATAATAGGGAGTGCCTGTATTTAGACAACCGCGTATTCATACTCGTTAGTATTAAGACAAATACTGTATGAACCAATCAGAATAGAGAAAAGACATAAATAATCCGCAATAAATAATAATTATTTATTTATTTCTTCTTTGTCTCGATTCTGATTGGTTGAAACAGTATTCGTCTAAATACTGAGGAGTCTGAATACGCGGTTGTCTAAATACTGCTATGTAGCCTAATAATAGTAATCAAAGTTATCATATGATATATCAGTACTCACGTGATATATCTTGTTACATTTTAGCTTAATTGTCCCAAATTGGCGAAAAGGGCCTTGTTTAAACACCTATAACTTTTTTTTAATCACAGCTAAATTAGCTTTTCAAATGTAAACTCAGGGCAACACTTTTTGAATGAAATTTTAAAAAAATCCGTCAAAATGGCTAGTTAAAAAGTCAAAATTTGTCTGAAAAAAAACCACCCCGAACACAATTATTCCGTTACTTTCGTAACGAAAGTCGGCACAACTACTGCTCGTATCAGGGCTACGCTTCGAATATTCTGCTTTTCAAGTTCCATCGAGTAGTGCTCGCTTCTAAAAAAATTGAAAATTTCAAAAATTATGAAAAACATCATCCCAAACGCTATGTAAAGTGCATGAAATGTATTCCGCCTATAGCAAAGTATTAAACAGTCCAAATAGCATGCCTGAGCCCAATTTGGAACATTTTCTAAGAGTAAATAATTCTCCTCTTACGCGTTAATAGCACGAAATAGATCGTGTGTTAATTGTCCTAAATAGCCCAAATTGGCAATCCGTAAGCCCCTTAACGTTTAAAAAACTGATCACAAAGGAGATTTTCTTAAGATAACGCCAGGGTCATAATTTTTGGATTAAACAAAAAAAGTCTTTCAAAATGGCTTGTTAAAATTGTCTGAAGAAAAAACCAACTCGAGCACAAATCTTCCGTTATTTTCTTCAAAACTTCAATGGCAAACTTCATGCACTTTTTTCAATTGGGAGCTCAGTGCTCATAATGGATCAGATAGCATAAAAAATACCGTCAAAAACATGACGAGCTCAAGGTTTCTGATCCTTTTTTGTCAATTGAAATAACATGAGTGCTCATTTAAAGTGATTGTTGGTTTAAAAATTTGTCAAACATCAACACTAGTTAGGAACAAGAGACTCCTCGTATCAGGGCAAAGCCCTGAAAGATCCCACAGCATTTTAGAGTCTATGGAGTAACAATCGCTTTATTAACGTTTATGAAAATTTCAAAAAAATGTTGAATTTTTTGTGAAAATCATCACCCCACATGCTTTTTAAGTGAAAGATTTCGCCAAAATAATGAATCGAATGCTTCTAACCAATTTGGATCGACTTCTAAGATGAATTGAATCTCTTCTTACACGTTATCAGCATGAAATTTTTCGCTCAGCACGAAACAATTGGTGCTAATAATAGGGAGTGCCTGTATTTAGACAACCGCGTATTCATACTCGTTAGTATTAAGACAAATACTGTATGAACCAATCAGAATCGAGAAAAGACATAAATAGTCCACAATAAATAATAATTTTTTATTAATTTCTTCTTTGTCTCGATTCTGATTGGTTGAAACAGTATTCGTCTAAATACTGAGGAGTCTGAATACGCGGTTGTCTAAATACTGCTATGTAGCCTAATAATAGTAATCAAAGTTATCATATGATATATCAGTACTCACGTGATATATCTTGTTACATTTTAGCTCAGGACAACAATATCTTTCGGCTGACAAAAAACTCCGTCAAAAATTTCCAGTTAAGAAATCGATATTATTCCGTCTTTCGCTTCGCAAATTGTCGGAACAATAATTATTGCGTTCGGATTTCCAAAATTCCGTGAACGCGTAGCTCAAGCCTCAATTTAATTGGGCTAAAAAAATATTTCAACCTGAACAGGGGGCAGTTTAATTGTTTCAGCTATTGTTTTCTACGTTCGACACTGCGTGCAGAAAATGTCAAAAATTTTGGAATTTTCTCAATTTTTGAAATTAAGAAACCTACAAGACATCCTTAAATTCAAGTTATTACTGAAATCCTAAAATGTGCAATCTTGTTGCTTCGACCACCAGAAAAAGTACAAGAAAAACACATAAATCCATCGCAATTGTCGTCTCTAGGGAAACTTGGTTTTATCAATAACAATTATTTATGCCTTTTATGATTCATTTGAATTGGTTAATCGCTGAGCTCAAAAATGAAAAATAATATATGATTGACATATGGTGTTATTAGATTTTTTGACCGAAAAACTTCCTGTTTTGTTTCTGTGAAAAAAAATTGAACTTTCGAAAGAAACCTAAAAATGGCTTTGATTCTGATTGATTAGGTTGTCCGAAATTTGAAACACCCAATCGATAATACTAGTATGCAAATTACGTTTAATGACATCTACAACTTATTGTTCCAAATTTTAAAAGAAGATGAGCAAAAAATTTATCAGTTTTGTCTTTTGTTGAAAGCAAATGTATTAGCCCAAAACAAAAGTTTTTGACGGTTTCTTACACCTATTTAGAGATATCGGTGCTTGGTTCCGAAGTTAAAGATTTTAATAAACAAATTTTTATTGGTGGAAGGTTTTTAATGCTAGAAAAATATTAATTTGCTCAATTTGGGCACAAACGCTCAGTTAGAGCACTTACGCACGAAATAGGCTGCCTGATGATTACCTTCCAGCCCATATACGCGCTCATCCTAATTCTGAGAAATCACTTCTGATTTGTTGGCTCTAGGGTTAATTTCATTACTTGGATCTCTTTAACTATCCCCCCCTCCCCACTTTTTTCAAAGGGTAGGGGATTCGTTACTAGATACAAAAATCTCAGATGCTTAACCGTTCATTTATTTCTTTTTAGGGGGAGATTCATTACTAGGTACCCGAGGGGGGGTGGTTAAAGAGGTCTCCCCTTACTCATTACTCAACCGGGGTTCAAAAAATGTAAACGTAGCATCCACTTACCTTCATCAAAATCAGAAGCATCATGTGAACTCCAGTCCTGTCTTTGCTCACTCCTCTTTGCGTGCACCCATGATGTATCTCGGTTCACTGCAGCTCTCACTTGATCGGACCGTGATTGGGGGAGTTTTTCGAGAGTTGGTTGCACGGCTGCGTCTATTCCGACAGTAATGACGATAAACACGATCCACTGAGCACAGCCATGCATGGTTGTCCGAGTCGATCAATTTTAATAACGACAATAGCAGATTTTTAAATTATTGATCTCTTTCCCATTGGAGCACCCTATTTATTGCTTGGGAGGGAGTCCAGTTGGTTTGTCCTCGCGATTTTGTCGTCTCTTTTTTGCCCTTTTTAAATGCGCTGACACATGAACAAAGAAAGTTTTCATCAAATCTTCCACAGAAACGCTGAAAAGCTACCTCTAGCTTTATATTTTTTTTCTCCAAAAAAAAGATGATATTTCCGAGGTGGTGGAGCATTGAGCTAATGTTCCAATAGCAGAATGATATAGAAATTTTTAATAGAATAACTGCTAGGCGTTTTCATAAACAGCCCGCGTCTCGGGACTACCAAACGCGCAAAACAAATAATTCCGATTGCACTATACATATAGTTCTGTACTTAGACCCTTTCTGCTTTTGGAACACTCTTTTCCTTATTCCAGTCCCCGTTTCCTAGGTCTGCAAAATTAGCTATGTTTGAAGATATATCAGTTTTTTAAACCCAATTTATTTGAGATATATATGTTAGCCGTTGGGAAAGAGCCAAATAGACAGCCAACCTTAACTTATTCCGGGTTCGTTAGAATACTAAAAAGCTATAGTTTCGAATTTGAGTTAGGTTACGGTTGGTTTTTCGGCTCAAGAATTTCGACAGCTGAGAAATTGGTTTGCATAAAGAAGCCGAACAGATGAAGAAAAATGAACAAAACTTCAGAGCAGAAACTGACAGGTATTATTTTTACGATTGCTCTTTTTGCTCTTTTTGAAAGCGGTATCGACAGACGAATAGAGTTACAAATTCTTTTTACGCACTTCAAATTGAACGAATCAAGACATCCAAGAACTTTCTAGAATTATTCGCACTATCTTTTGAACATCTTGTGATGTCGCTTTATGGAAAATACGTGGAGCCAACTTACGACGGAATGAGCAAGTAAGTCTTTAAAAAGTAAATTAGATGATTTGATTGCTCGTTCCGATGTTTTTTGCTGTTTTGCTTGGCGTGTTGACGCTCAGTGAACCATCCTCAAAAAAACTGTACTTAAGATCAAAAGTTCATGTGCTCACACGCACCCAACCCACTGAATACAACACAGCGGGCTAAAAATTTCATCATAGCCGAATAAATTGTGACTAAGGACCCCTCAAGATTTCTGAACTTTATTTTGCTGAGAGCAGGCGTTACTGATTCACTATCATGATCACTAAAAGTAAACATCAAATCAAACACTCAAATATTTGGTTCGAACTTTACATCTATTACTAATCATTATTGGATAATTTTCATACTAATTCTCTATTTACAAATTCTGTAACTCCTTACGCGAAAATTTATTTTCCTTCATTCATTTATTACTGTTATTAGCGAATCAATGATGGAGCTGAACTTGGACGATTTGAGACGTCGGCTGATTCACAAAATAGAGCTAGAGGTCAAAGAGACTTTCGAGTCCTACTCCACTCGGGATGATTTCCTCCTTCGTGCGAGAGGGGAAGAAGGAGGAGGAGGGGACAGCAATTATGGGGGGTCAATGACCGATTTGAACTCTGCATCTGTGGGGGAGGGGGTTATTCCGGAACAGCACCAGGCGGATGAAGTCGAGAAGTACAAAGAAAAGCCAAAGTATGAAAAAATGTTGATGTTCTAGCACGACTATGGTTTAAAATATGTACCACAACGCCTTTTTTGGCCCGCATTTTCAAAGAATTCTGCGGCGCAAAAAATTTGGTCAATCTAGGGTCTTTATAGTGATTTAGGAGAGCTCAGAAAATTCATTTAATAAAAGCGTAACAAAATGGCAAACTAACAAAATTTGAGCTTAGGGTGTCATCTTCAAAGGACTATCAAAAATCTCCTCAAAACGAGTATTATGCCAAATTTTTACTAAAATGTGCTAGCTAGATTGGGAAAACTTAAAGACGGTGTATAACACTCCGTTTGCAAGTTGCCAACTACGGTAAAGTTGTGCGCACGCAGAAAAGGCAAGTTCTGCAACGCGCACACAGAAAAAGCAAGTTGATTCCGATAAAGCGATTTAATTCCGGTAGCTTTCTTGAAAAATCATATATTGGTGTTGTTGTTTAGGAGATTTGCGAGCAAGCAGTTCAAGCCTCGAGAGTCGATTTTGAGTGTGTTGTTGAGACAGAGCAAGAACATCAGGACCATCTACAACATCTTCGCCGCCATCCTCATCCACCTCTTCATATCCACATGTGTCAACGACTGGATCAACAGCAGATCAATTGTCCAGAACATGGAGGCCAGTCTCATTTTTCCTTTTTTCACCCAATTCCACCGTTTTTTAACCACAGAAAAACAATCATTTCGAAGCTTGGTGGGGCATAGCTCAATAGGTACTTAATAGGTACGTAAATCATGCGCCGGGTTCTCCAACGATTGTGGAACACCAAAATTCTTAATTTTAAATTAGTCCCAAACCCAATGTTAGTCTCAGAATGAAAAAATTACCCAATTAGTCGCATATTCAGCCGGCTATTTTCTGTTATAAATGTATAAAACTCTACAATTTTAAGGTTCCGAAGAGATCAAAATTTGGTATTTAAACACAAAGTTTGAGAAGCATCAGCCCTGGTAACTTGCTTTCTTCGAGGGAATGACCGCCCAAAGAAAAAAGATGGTTGCTCAATGGATCCCAATTGGAAGGGGAGGGAGATTTGTCATTATGTCGATTTTGCAAGCACTATTTACGATTTTTTAAAATTTCAGCGCAAAAGGAAAAATGAAAAAAAATTCAAAAACAGCACCAAATTGAGAAATAAAAAAATTGGAGCTTTCAGAGTATTTTTCTGTTGCTGTGTAGATAATCTGGTGGAACTTTGGCAACTTCCCCACTGTTGTTTCCATCTGGCTGATGATGATGGTGTCCACCCTTCTGGTAGTCTATCCACTCTACAACTTCTGGGCCACCACCAGGCAGGGCTGCCGCACAAAGTCGTTAATAAGGAGCAAATAGTAATAAAAACAACCGTTCGCAGTTCATGTTTACAGAAAAACATGGGTTGGGGTTTGGCTTAATTTATTTGAGCCAAAAATATCCAAAATTGAAGTCCAAAATTGAATTTCCAAAATTAGTGAAGTTTGCTTTTAGTGGTTATGTATGTCCACTGGTATCATGGCATAAAATTACTGCGATTTTATCATTCAACGATGATGGTGTTTTTTTTCAGTTTTAAAGAAAAAATTAAACCTTTGGAAAATTTTTAAAAGCGAAGTTACGATGAAATAAAGCAACCCTGCCATTGCAACAGAAGGGCGCTTTTGAAAGATGAGCGGGTGTTCGACTGTGTTTTTCTGGCGCTGTACTGTGGCTACCAAATTGGGTTCTTCATTCTGCCTGCCTATATGTGCAGAGTCACATATCAAGTTAGAAAATTATCAATTTACATTTTAAGGAAGCTTTAACAAAAACTATTCAGAACGTTATACTAAGTACAAAAATATAGCTAGAATATAAAACGGCTTATAGGATGATTTGGACTGCATTAATGAAATTGATGAGAAAAATCACTCAAACAGCATCCAGTAAAAACTGCCTAAAGTTGTTGATTTTAGCTATTAAAAATTCCCGAAGCTGAAACTTCTGATAATAACCACATGTTTCTGTTAGCAAAAAATGGAAAATGCAAAGCGTATGTTGATGTTCAACTTACGATTTAGAGAGCAGAGTTTGCTTTTCCAAGAAACAGTCGAAATCGAAAGCGCTTCAGCTGCTAGTCAAGTCAATTCAAATAACAAAATAGCAACAGGGATAGCTGGTTGCTGTGGTACCAGCACAAAAAGTTCCGTTTATATTCTTAAAAAATAAATAAAAGTTATTTCATGTTTTTTTTCTAAATATTGTTGATTTTCGTGAGTGTTGTGATGAAAGGATCTGATGTTTTAATGTTAATTAAAATCTCAAACTGTCAGTGGCGACACGTGATGATATAGTAATATTATAGCTAGTTCGGCTTTAAAAAGTCTTTTAAACATATATTAACTCTTTCAGTTTCAATTGGAAATTCAAAATTGCAAAAAAATTCCTTGTCAATGCGTATTCAATCACTTTCGATGACAACTTGTTCGTACAACCCGTCCTGATAAGAAATGGATTGAAATCAACCTAATACAGACAATATAGCAACAATCGATTGATTGATTTAAATTGATTTAAAATCGATGAAGTTTGAAAAAAAAAGTTTCAAGACTCAACTTCAATAGATGTCAAATGCTATCAGAATCATAATTTTTTTATGTCGATGTAATTTGGCTAAGAATTACTAAATATTGGAACATGTGAGTAAAAAAGAATTTTCGGTCCTAACAGCACTGATTTCCTTGTATTGTTTTTTCATGCCGATACTTACTTAAAAATTTCAGATTCAATCTTTCAATTTAAATCACTGCATGAAAGTTCCAAAACAAATTAACATTTTTTAAATTTTTTTTTAATTTTGAGTAAAACTTTTGAGTTCTTTTTGTATTATTTTTCTCATTTTGAGCCCACAAATCAATGAAAGAAAATTGTTTATTAATTATGCTTTTTAGATTTTGAAGTTGCTGGAAAATACTTATTGTATAACAAAACATTTCAGATTTGTGTTTTCAAATTTTGTTACAGCATAACTTCCAAAAAAAATCATCAATCAATCAACTCCTCTAGGAATTAAGTGATCACTGTTTCGCAATACTTTTAATATCTAGAATGGTATAACATTGTGATATGCGCCCTTAAAAATATTTGATTTATTCCAGAAACTCTATCCTCCAGAGAATTCATTGAAGGAAAATTTATCTTGCAAAGCATTTTTATCTGTTTTTCAAATCTGAATGGCGAAACGCGAGCTGATAATTCGATACCAAGAAACAAATTTGATTTTTTCTTAAAACTCTGCCATCCTAATTAGCTGTCTTATAATATAAACAGAAGCGAAGTTACACTTCGCTTACACAAGCAAAAAATATGACCGATAACGCTACTGGGAGAAACTGAATGAGTAAAACTTTGAGTCTTCAAAATTTTTAAGTGAGGCACGCCAATTATGACGCATTAGCAGTACCAGCCAATTTGAATTTTTTTTACCGTCTTAGATGCCTCATTTTATTGAGCAGTCTATGGAGCAGTAATAACATGAAAAAAAATAAATGTATTGAAAATAAAATGATTAAAGAACCTTCAAAAATGTCTAGTTTTAAACTCGAAATTTGTCTTAAGAAAAAAACCACCCGAGCACAAATCTTCCGTTACTTTCGTTACGAAAATCGGAACAATATTAGTCTGTGTTAAAACCTTAGCATTGGCTGTACTTAATAGCTGGTTATTGATCAAAATGAACACTTTCAAATGAACACATTTTATCGCAACAATATGTGCGACTTAGGTTGGAAAAAAAGATAGTTCATACTATAACACTTATAACACAAGCATTGCTTGTGTAAACGCATATTGAAAGACAAAATCAAAATAGACTAATGTCGATTACGTGGTGGAGCATAAGAAAGGTACTTTGAGTCAAAGGTTTTTAGTTTGACGAACCTCCACCATGGCTGCATAACCTCTACCATAGCAGACTGTTTTTCTCACGTAATTGGCATCAGGTACCTTGAAATTATATCATTTAAGAGAAAATGATGATTTGTTTTTTGCTTTCCATATGCCGCGTGGAACCTGCTTTAAAATGGAGTTTTGTTTTCAGCTTCCTCCTGCCTCAACCCTCATTGTGATATTGGAACAACTTCGACTCCTCATGAAGGTACAGACTTTTCGAAGGGTGCAAAATTTATGCCTTTATATCATTTCAAATGTGTTTCAAAAAACGTGCGTCAAGTTTTGGTTAATATTTTGCTTTCTAAAAGATCAAATAAAATTGGGTGTCAAAAACAAGGTTTCAATTTTTGTTTAACTTTGGTTTTCCTCCAAAAATTGTTTGTTAAAATGTGAAAGATTAGTTAATTTAGGTGCACTCGTTCGTGCGCGAAAACATCCCCCGATCAATGAGATATGACCCTAAGAAGAACGTTACCACTCCTACAGGGATGTTAAACGTCATCTAATTTGTTGAACCAAAGATCGTTCAAACTACTTTCAAATTATTGAATGGTAAAAAGAATTCCAATAATCACGCCATTTTCGATTACCTAGACTGTCTGAAAACTAAATAAACTCGATATTGACTGATACGAGAATAATTTGTAATTTGCTAGCCCAAAAATCTTCAGATTTCAAAGTTTTTTGTAAAATTTTTAAACATCCCTGCGGTTTCCCAATTGCAGTCGACGATAGTGAGGAGAGTCAGCAACTGGAGAACATCGCATGTCCCAATTTCTCCTGCTACCTCTACTTCTTATTCGCACCCACTTTGCTGTACAGGTAGAAAAACACTATTGTTTAATTTTCACTCAGAAATTCACTCAAAAATAAACTGATTTGGATAAAAAGTGAAGTATGGATAGCAAAACATGCACACATGAAATGATTTTTTTAAGTCATTTTGATCGTCTCTCAGAAAAGTGCTCTAGGACAAGGCGGATTTTGGAGACAAATGGTAGGACATGCTTGTCTTGTTTTTGATTCCGCAGACAAATGCCTTTTTGCAGTTGGAGTAAACTGAAGCGAAGTGTTGCTGGATTCCACAGACAAAAGATAACCTGTCGCCGGTTCTTCTCGACACCGGGGAAACTTTTTGAAAAAAAAATTTTAATATTTGAATCACGACTGAAAAAAATTTTTTTTATGATATATCACTCAACCCAGTCCGATGATTGTTTTTGGTACCTGATATTGGGCGGAAAACAAAAAAAAAGGAAAAAAAATAGAAGAAACTTGAACACGCCCAATACAAAGCTCTTCCCCATTTTCAATGCTCGGGCAAAAAAGATTTCCATTGCTGTGCAAGTATCGAATCTGAACGGAAGCCTTATAAGCAAGTGGATACAAACGGAAGTAGGGGTAATAAAACATACACGCGTGAATCGATTTTTGGAGTCATTTTTGATAGTCTCTAAGAAAAATGCACTAAAACTCGAGTCATTGCAACGTCAAGTTCAGGTACTTAGGTAAAGATTTGGATTTCGCATACATTGTCCCTGGAATCTGCATTACTTGCGGTGGATTCCGAAACATCTCGAAAAGCCTTTGAAGTCAGAAATCTGATGGAATCGAAGGACAAATGCTTAAGAACTAGGCGCAAAAACTGAATCTTAGTTAGCGAGCAAAAACTTTGAACCTAGTGACAAGGCGGATTTTGGAGTCAAATGCTACGAAACCCTTGTCTTGTTTTTGATTCCGCAGACAAATGCGTTTTTGCAGTTGGAGTAAGCTAAAGCAAAGTGTTGCTGGTTTCCACTGACAAAAGTTGACTATCGGCATTTTGCGTAGGGATCAATTGAATTTGGAATTCACAAACAAAATCTCTGCAAAAAAAACATAGAAAAGATGTGTTCATGGAATCTAGACGCGTGAAAGCACGAATATGTTCTAAGTTATAAGACCGAGTTTGGCGTCGTATTGGTTAGCAAAGATTGTAAAGTTGAAGGGAATTGGTAAATAGATTAAACCCATAGACATTCTAATCATACTCAAAAAAATTTCATGGTGTTTCAGAAAAAAACGTTCTCTCAATTTTGACTCCAAACTGCCATATTTTTTATTGACAAATTGAAATAAAAGCAATTTAAAACAAAGATAGTCGACGATAGTGAGGAGCAATTTAAAACAAAGATAGTCGACGATAGTGAGGAGAGTCAGCAACTGGAGAACATCGCATGTCCCAATTTCTCCTGCTACCTCTACTTCTTATTCGCACCCACTTTGCTGTACAGGTAGAAAAACACTATTGTTTAATTTTCACTCAGAAATTCACTCAAAAATAAACTGATTTGGATAAAAAGTGAAGTATGGATAGCAAAACATGCACACATGAAATGATTTTTTTAAGTCATTTTGATCGTCTCTCAGAAAAGTGCTCTTTCTACTGCATTGTAAGATTAGAGAATTATCCAATCACGTAAAAAATTTTTGGAAATAATTTAATGTCGTTTTTAAAAGTTTTTAGTTGAAAAAACACTGAAGCGAAGTGTTGCTGGATCCCTCAGACAAAAAATAACCTGTCGCGGGTTATTCTCGACACTGGGGAAACTTTTTAGAAAAATTTTAGTGTTTGAATCACGACTGAAAAAGATTTTTTTTATGATATATCACTCAACCCAGTCCGATGATTGTTTTTGGTACCTGATATTGGGCGGAAAACAAAAAAAAAGGAAAAAAAATAGAAGAAACTTGAACACGTCCAATACAAAGCTCTTCCGCATTTTCAATGCTCGGAAAAACAAAGATTTCCATTGCTGTGCAAGTATCGAATCTGAACGGAAGCCTTATTAGCAAGTGGATACAAACGGAAGTAGGGGTAATAAAACATACACGCGTGATTCGATTTTTTGTAGTCATTTTTGATAGTCTCTAAGAAAAGTGCACTAAAACTCGAGTCATTGCAACGTCAAATTCAGATACTTAGGTAAAGATTTGGATTTCGCAAACAATGTCCCTGGAATCTGCATGACTTGCGGTGGATTCCGAAACATCTCAAAAAGCCTTTGAAGTCAGAAATCTGATGGAATCGAAGGACAAATGCTCAAGCACTAGGCGCAAAAACTGAATCTTAGTTAGCGAGCAAAAACATTGAACCTAGTGACAAGGCGGATTTTGGAGTCAAATGCTACGAAACCCTGCTACGAGTTTGGAATTCACAGACAAAAGCTCTGCAAAAAACATGCAAAAGATGTGTTCATGGAATCTAGACGCGTGAAAGCACGAATTTGTTCTAAGTTATAAATTCAAGTTTGGCGTCGTATTGGTTAGCAAAGATTGTAAAGATGAAAGGAATTGGTAAATAGATTAAACCCATAGAAATTCTATTCATACTCAAAAAATTCTCATGGTGTTTCAGAAAAATAACTTTCTCTCATTTTTGACTCCAAAGTGCCATATTTTTTGCTGACAAATTGCAATAATAGCAATTCAAAACAAGGATAGTCAGTTGCTGTGCAAGTAACACACAAAATGTTCCGACCATTATATTAATTCGATTAAAAATAATAGTGATAGATTTAAAAAAAAAACATTCTTTTTGATGCGTTAGTGTCCTTTTTACTGCATTGTGAGATTAGAGAATTATCCAATCACGTAAAACTTTTTTGGAAATAATTTTATGTCGTTTTTAAATTTTTTTAATTGAAAAAAAAACTGAAGCGAAGTGTTGCTGGATTTCTCAGACAAAAAATAACCTGTCGCGGGTTCTTCTTGACACTGGGGAAACTTTTTGCAAAAATTTTTAATGTTGCTTGAATCACGACTGAAAAAGTTTTTTTTATGATATATCACTCAACCCAGTCCGATGATTCTTTGTGGTACCTGATTTTGGGCGGAAAACAAAAAAGAGAAAAAAAGCAGAAAAAACTAAAACACACCCGAATACAAAGCTCTTTCCCACTTTCAATGGTCGGAACAACAAGGATTTCCGGATGCTGTGCAATTACTGGATATAAACGGAAGTCTAAACAAGAATTTGATAAACAAGAAGTGAAGCCTAAATAAGAATTGTTTTCGATAGTAAGAGTCGAATACGCGTTTTTGACTAGTTTTTTTTATCGAAAAATAGTCGAAAAACAAAAAAAAGAACTTATTTTGCGTGCTTCAAATTTCATGGAGAATCTTTGTTTCCTTTTTATAGGATATTTTCTGTTATTTTGAAGGCGTTAAAAGGGATTTTATGAGCCTGCTCACGAGCTTTATTTGCTCGAAATTGGACCGAACATTTATTTTTTAATAAGGTTTTTCTCTGCGCTGTAGAGATTTTTCGGAAGTTTTGTAATTGGCTTCGAATCACGACTACAAAAGCAGCACTATGATTAATCACTCAATTTTTTCCCACATTTTCTGTGTACTTGATTTTATGTGGAAAACAAAAATTAGAAAAAAAAAACACGCCCAAATACAAAGTTCCTCCCACTTTTAGCTGTTGGAACAGCAAATACCATTTCAACGCTATTTCAAAAGTAGGGAATTTTAACGCCTTTCTTTGAGAAGGTATAAGAGAGGATGTTAAATTGCATAGGCACCGTTTTAGAGACTCCTATCCGATGACGGAATCGATTGACTGGAACTTCGTCAGATCCAACTTCGTCCAGACTTTAGTGTGCATATTATACACTGCCTTCATCTTCACACGATTCATATTCCCCATTTTCTCAGGTGAGCTGAAGATTCAGAAATCGCGAAGGAAGATCATCAAAAAACAATTGCTGAAAACAAGTTCACCGAAAAATTTGAATAAAAAGCTTATGAATAACCCCAACTCAATCGTAATGAATATTTGGAGCAGATTTAAACGGTCCTTTTTTATTTGAAAAACAATACAGCAAACGAGAAAAAGTACCGTTGCATTGAAAAACCTTCAGTTCTAATTGAATTTAACAAAATTAACAAAAGAAACTACAAACAGTTTCGACTGTTTTGTTCAACTTGAGTCTTTCGTTTTCGTAGATTTCGTAGATGATGTAGATTTCAACTGTGTTTTTAGAGTTCGGCAACCACCAGTTCGACTGGGAGCACTCGCTGCAGTCTGTGTTCAGTATGGTCCTCCCAGGCACTCTCCTCCTAGTCCTCTTTCACTTCATGTTCCTCCACTCCTGGCTCAATGCATGTGCCGAGATGCTCCGATTCGCAGGTCAAAATTCCAAACTTGAAAAAATGATGTTAAAATAACAAAAGCAGCGTGTTTGGCGTATTTCTTCAAAATGCGTCTGCAGCGCAAAAAAACTCGAAATAGGGTCTTTATAGTGTTTTGGGAGGGCTTGGAAAATCTTTAAGAAAATCTTCAAATTCAGGGCTAATAATGTAAAATCAGAATGACTTATTGGGCGGATACTAAAATAAAGTGTACAACAAAGACGTATGAATTCCGAACTATAGCACCAAATTCATGTAGTTTTCAAGGTATCAAAAAGTTTTAAATTATCTTGTGTTGATCTTTCCCATAGTGAAAGCTTTAGTTTTGCAGATCGCATCTTCTACCGTGACTGGTGGACCTCCACCTCCTATGGACAGTACTACAGAACATGGAACGTCGTCGTCCACGACTTCCTCAAGGTCACAGTCCAAGACTTCACTTTTAAAGTCTTAACTTCGAATAAAATTAATTACTGTATGCTTATTTTATCATTTAAGTTTCTTCCATCCGTTAGAATTTCAAATATCTCAACTTTCGTCTGCCGAGCAAAAAGTTGTTCTTAAATTTTTTAAAAGCATTCTGAAAATGTATATGTTTCAAATAGAGGGATGCAAAACTACCGCGTATGCAAAGAACGCTGAAAAAGCTGAGGATGAAAATTGAGCTTCTTCATTGATTGAGATCCCTGGAAACTTGAAAGACATATGTAACAGAAAGAGTCAGTATATCCTTTATTTCTCTCACTGCAAATCCATCAGAACACTAAACTGTTTCTAAGACTCCTGTTTTCGTTCAGTTGCTTTTTTGTTCCATAAAGGTTTTTCATCTATGCTTTCAGGCGTACATCATGTACGACTCGGAGCTTCTTCTCGTGAGACTCCTTGGCAACAAGCGATCCAAACAAGTGCACTTCCTCTCTATTATGTTCACGTTCTTGGTGTCAGCACTGGTTCACGAGTATGTCATCATCATGGCCGTTGGCTTCTTCTTCCCCATTCTCTTTCTCATGTTCTCTGGGTGTGGCTTCTGGTTCATGATCCTCGTGCAGAATAACAGATTTGACAGGTAAGCTAACAATTTTTTTTCAAGAGTATACTTTGATGGCTTCAGAGAAGCAACGGTATTTATCTCTGTAGAGGAAGCAGAAGGCTACGTTTGCAGGAGCTTTGAAGCTACTGTACAGATGGTAATTAATTTTCAGACTTGATGGAAAATGGTAAAAGAATTCATCAGATCTGTGTTGGATTCTTGGGTTAGGCATGGCTAATATACAAAAACATAAAAACAGGCCGATGATAATTTGAACAAAATAGGTTACATAGAGTGCATTCGGGAAGCTCGAAAAAAATTTTTGTCGACCTAGAAAAAGGGACTAAATATGAAACTTCTCTGGAAATCCCTTCTTAAAAAATCTTCGATCTGCTCCTCTTTATACACTACGAGTTATAACAGCAACAACTTTCAAAATCAGTTTAGGTTCCAGAATACTATCTTCTGGTTCCTGCTGACAATTGGGATGGGCGTACTTTTGAGCTGGTACTGTCAGGAGTGGTATGCACAGCAGAACTGTCCCCACAACGGAGAGTCCATTCTAGACTACCTCATACCTCGATCTGTCGCCTGCTACTGGGGTAGTTGACGCTGCTTCACGGCAGAAGACGAGCACAAGCTGAATATCGAAGATTCTATAACTGGATTTTTTCTATTTTTAAAAAACTGAAGAAAACTGGCATCGGATTTCGAAGGTCGACTTCTGTAATCACCGGATGATATATTGATTACACAGTATCAGTTTATGATTTCAAATAACAATATCGATGAACAATTAACCAAGTAGATGTTAACTAATGAATAAGATTAATTTAAGATTTTAGATTTTTTTTTTAAAATTTCACTTCAGTTGGTCATGATCTGTTTACCTAAAAACTAAGCAAGCAGCAGCACGAAATAAAACATGATTTAAAAAATTGTATACTAGATTTAAAGGGTTTATTATTTAAGCCCGTTCACACTCAAACTTAATGGTACCACAAAGTGTTTCCTTTGGTAATGAATTAAGTTGGGCGACGGAAACTCACTACTATCCGCAATCCTAAAAGATATACGTATGTGGAAAATATTTTTCTATTGTACTAAGTTTTGTGCTCCTTTGAATTCGAAGCTTTTACGACTGTAACGATCACAATCGTGATCGCAAGAAACTCAAGTTGTAATTAAACTTTAAAAATTTTGATACAAAGCTCCGCGATCAAGTTACTAATTGCCTTCTGCAATTTCATTGCTCGTTAACACTAATGAGTAACGAAGTTCTCTCTCTCTCTCCCTCTCTCTCTCTCTCTTTCTCTCTCTCTCTCTCTCTCTCTCTCTCTCTCCATCTTTCTCTCTCTCTCTCTCTCTCTCTCTCTCTTCTCTCTCTCTCTATCTCTCTCTCTCTCTCTCTCTCTCTCTCTCTCTCTCTCTCTGATTACTTGATTAACTTTTCACAACTAAATCAGCTGCTAAAACTAATAGCATTTCTAAAGGCAAACAATCGATTGAAAAATTTTAGCTTTAGGTTGTTTAAATAACTAATGAGAAAAACTGAAATTTCTCAATCAAATATTCGCCTTTAGAAATTAGCTATGGAAACAACGTAAAGTCTTTTTTTAGTATTCTGCGTTCTCTTTCACCGATTGGAACCAGCTATTTGTCGCTCTGTAAAAAAATATTGTGCCGAAGGGTAAACTTTTTGATAATCTTCATTTGGTTAAACTATTTCAGTTTAGTTTTGGTCAGAGTTATGTTCGTTTCTACAATATTTGGCATTTTCTTTGGTACCCCTACAAAAATTTTTTAACCATATGATTCCCGTGACCATAATAATTCCAAAGGACAAGCTCATTTATGTATATATGCTGGGTTGTGCAAGTATGAAGTCCATTTTCACCTCAAACTCAAGTTGAGTTTGAATATCCAAATAATCAAGAACTTCATTTGAAAAAATCCCGTAATTTTTTTGGCCTCCGGAGGCTAACGGGAGGTCTTATTCAGAAGTAGCAACTTCATTTTAAATCCCATCCATACATAAGTTCAGTTGTGACGAACCAATTATCAGGAATTGTCTTTTCAATTGGTCCTAGTGAGCCAAAAGATTCCTTCGGGAAAGTAAGTGATTATCACATTTTCCATATTACTTAGAAGTTGTAATTCACATGTCGTACTCCTGTTACTGTCAGTTTTCTGGGACTACTATTTGGTCTAATTGTTGCTAATAACTATCTGAGTTTCATAGCTAATATTGCCCCGATGTTTGCCTAGATTCAACCTTTTTCAACTCAATATTTCGACGTAGAAAAAAAAGCAATATCCTTTTACCTTCCTATCACTTCTACGATGGATAAGTTTTTCCCTAATTATAAGAATAAAGTTTGTCTCATATTTTGGAGAACGGGATTTTTGGAGTTTTATTCTTGAGTTTTCCTCTGCAAGTTTTGAGGCCTAAACACTTAAAGATCAATATGAGTTCACACCAGAGTCACCTGGATTTTCTATCTGATGGCGGTTCTATCTACTAAGTTTTTTTATATCATTTTTACTTCCTGATTTATTTATTTGAAAGGTCAACTATCATTTTTCCCTGGAAATAGCTAGTTATACCAGAAGAAGTGGCCCAAAAAACTTCGTTCCCTGGGTTTATTCATCCTATGATTTTCTTAAATTAAGCGTTTTTAGTAGCCCTTCGGGGGCGGCACAATGGTCTTAATTTCACTGTTTTTTTCGGGGTGTTGCTTAGTGTAAATTGCCATTGTAAATGTGAAACCCCCTAATCAGTTTCCTCTTTCCAGTCTAGGTGGTGGTTTCCTTAAAGCTAATAACTTCCGGTGCAGCCGACGGACCCGATTCACAGTACCAACATGATGTATCTGGCCACTACCTATCCTGTCCAAGAATTATTGTTCCTATCCTTCATCTAAGCTTAAAACATAGCAAATTTTGGTATCATTTTCACCACTACTTACTATTAAGTTCATTAGGTTGATTCTCACCACCGGAACCGTAATCCTTTAAGAGTCTGAGGACTGTTTGCGTGCCCGGTTTTAGTTATCATTTAGAGGCTGCAAATGATTTTAACTTCACTTAGGTTTTCAGCCAAAGGAAGGACTCACTTTTTGAAGATTCTTAATAATCTGGATTTAATCACTTATTTACTTTTCTGATTATTTTTTGACCTTTTGAATAATAGTATGTGCCCACCAATAGGCTTACCATATTACAAGCGAGTAAGTATCCCTCTACAAGGAAACACTAAGTTTAAAAAATCTGTTTTAGAATATCACAAATCTAGATCTAAGGGTATGGAGACCATCCCCTTTAATAAATTAGGGTGCAAAAAGCAACGTTTCACTGTAAAGCCTTCTTTTGCTCGTTTAGTCTACAGAGTTGATACCGGTACGAGAAAAAATTCTTATTAAACACATCGCCAAACGCCAAACCCTTGTACGCATTATCCACGAGAACAAAATGGGGCACCATGAGTGCTAACATCGATCATATAGCGAGGTCCAACCAAAGTACTTAGCAGATTTTCCCGCGTGAATTGTAAAAAGATAGGTAACACTTGTGAAAAGTGCAAAAAGAACGCGCGGTTTTTGAGTGACGAACCGAGACCCACCGATAGTTGTGCGAACGGTTGGGTTTGACCATGGCTAAAACTTCAGTGGCCACTCAGGATAGCGATACGATAAGTCCCTTTACACGCGGGCCGGTTAAGGCTGATTGCACCCGCCCATTTCTAGAATTGCGTTCATTACTTACTCATTGGGAAACACGCCGTTTTGACACAGTTTCAAGAAAATCTACAGAGAGCAGCAGAGTAAGCAGTCGTCTCGTTCCCAGTCTTTTTATTTTTCCAAATCTGATCCTATTGCATCTTTAATGGACCGCAGAAATAGGGACTCGACCCTCTCTTGTCATTCTTTGAGAACACGTCATCCATTTTCGTCCATTCAGCCCTGAAAAAATGTTCTATAAGCGCATTTGGCGCTAATTAAAACTAATTTGCAACACGAGCCAACGCCAAAATGTTCAAGGTTTTGGTCAAAGTGTTCTTAAAAGTGCTCGATATTTTTGTTCCAAAAATCAAGAAAGAATGATTGTGATCTGACCACGCAATGACGTAGACTTCGGCAGCAGGTTATCTATCTACTGTCCAGCGGGGAAAAAGCTTATAAACAAAAAGACCATTTGTGTAACTTTTAAAAAAATTTTTGAAAGTTATTTTTTTAAGATTTGTTGGAAAAAGATAACAGGGTCGAGTTAATAACTTGCCTTTTGAAAGGTTTGGAGGGTAATTAAATACACTGGAAAATAATTAAAAATCACCATCTTTTGATAAGGATTTCATTGAATGTAAATTTGATAAATTAATTGCTATTTGATTCTGTAAAAACAGTGGTGAACAAAATCGCACAAAAATGTTACAGAGCACTTTTTTGGTTGTTTATCAGGGGCGAGCTGATCAGCTGATACTGACAAGAATTTATAAACAACAGATTTGTTTGACAATGTAGAACCATATAATTCCACCTAATTATAAATCACAGAATCTGCAGCTTTAAAGAAAAGATTGGACTGGAGCCTGGTGGCCGGTAAGGCGCATGATGGAGATGGCATTCAATTAAGTTTGAAAAGTTCAAGAAAACTTGTTTATGATAAACTAACGCAATTATGAAAACTTTTGGATTGAAGTGGACTTTTCATTGATGAAAAATCATTCACCACAAAATAATGTTGCTCACGTACGTCTCAGCATCGAGTGAACATTGAATTAAAATTTATTCAGTCAATGAAGAGGGTATGTAGAGACTAGAACATAGTGGTTTATAATGCCTGAAGTGTATGAAAAGATACTTTAATAAACTTTTCATAAAGTTTGGTTCTTTTTTTAAATAGTCGAACAAAACGTGGGACTGGCAGTTTCTCAGCTTCTTATAAAACCGCATCCAGTTTCAAGCATTCATAATCGATATTATTTTGAGTTTATTATCAGTCTTACGTAAATTGAGAGAAAATTTAACTTTTATGAATTAATGATGGATTATAACCTCTAAAACTATTTAAACCATATAGTATCGATTATGTATCCAATCTTTTTTCAACCCACTTATAATTGATGATAAACAACTATTTTCATCCCAATTTTTATTGTCTGCAAAAATCCATTATAATCAATTGATTGTTATCGATTATAATCTTTTTGTTTTGCCCATTTTGCCTTCAACCTTGCATCTGAATTGCTTATTCTTCATACTTTTGATAGACGATGGTTTTATTCGGAAAAGTTACTTATCATTTACCGCGGTAACCTTTCAACTAATATGATAGAATCTCTATGAAACTTTTGTTTCGCTGTAAGACTTTGCTCAGATGAACCAAAGCGTTACAAGACATCTCGCTTTTATAGATTTCGTTATTGACAGTGAAATTATAACCCATGAGAAATAATTAAATATGTTTTTGGTGTGATTAAAATTTTGGCGAAATCGAAGACTATAACCAATTATAATTAAATTAAAGTTTTTTTTGTTTGAACTGTGCTCATATCAAATAAATCAAATCTATAATCGCTTACTTACACCTAAACTTAGATGCAGGAAGCAACTAAGTGTGTCTCATTGTATTTGACTTAATTGTGTTACAAAACTGCCCTAGATACCATTACAATTTATAGCGACCTCTCATTTCAAAATTAAGCCCCAAAAAAATAAAAGCAGGTTTTCGGTCAACCAGTAAAACAAAAATGAACAACAACATTGAATAACTTCTCATCTCGGTGTAATTGGGATGGTTAAGAAACTAAAATCTTATGATCCTGTGTTCATGACCCTGGAGTGTATACAAGCGCTGTTTTTCTGCTGTTAATAAGTAACACAAACAGCATCCAGTTTCATCTGCTGCTTGTACAACAGGCGACTACCAAGCCATCAAGTTTCAAGCAAAAATAGTCAATTGTATTATGATTTTCATACCAGTCGTACTAAAATTGAGAAATAAAAATTTATTTTAATCAATTAATAGTCGATTATATTCTTTTTTTCGATCAAGTTATTATCAATTGTAACTCAATTCAAACGATTGTAATTGATTATTATTCAATCTATTTTTTGATACCATTATAGTCGATCATCATCGATTATTTTTATTCCAATTTCTAATTCAAATGTTTTGCACAAAACTATCCAGTGTTATCATTTATACTCTATTCTAATCCCTTTTGTTTGCCCGTGTTGTCTTCGACCTTGCATCTGAACTGCTTATTTTATATGCTTTTGTAGACGTTGGTTTATGTGAAAAATGAGAATATTATTTTGAAAGGTTTCAAATCAATTCAAACCTATAACGTTTTTAGTTTTTCTATTTGTCCTCCATTAGAGTTGTTTCAAGATGCACATTTTAGGTTTTGTTAACCACCAAAATATCAGCGTAAAGCTTTACTTTCATGATTTGTTTGGAATTTTTTTTCACCTACCACGGGAACTTTTCTACTAATATCAAAGAATCTCTGTGAAAATTTTGTTTCGTGGTAAATTTTTGTGTTCAGATGAACCAAAGTATGACAAGATATCTCAATTTTGAGATTTTTTTTGTTATTGACAGAAAAAATAATAACCCATTAGAGTTATTGAAATGATTTTTTTCTTCTGCTAAATTTTTGGCAAAACTAGAAATTATAATCGTTTTTAATCGATTATAATTGATTTCAAGACTTCTTTTTATCAGTTGTATTCGATTATAAGAGATTATAACCTCAAGGAAAAATTACGGTTATAGTCGATTATAATTCCTCTAAACAGCTCATTTTGGTAGTTATAATCAATCAAAATTGTCAGAAAAGTTAAGATGATAATCCGTTATAATCGATTACTTTCGTTTAAACTTGGATGCGGGCAAAAAAAAGTTAATTTTTCTATTAATTGTGACCCGTTCAGTGTTTGATTTTTAAAAAATTGCTCCGTAGTTTCGATTTTTTTGTAATGGATAAATAAGAGTGAAAATTGATTTTTACTAGCCAATTGTATTTTATAACTAAGATTTACAACTATCTAACTGTCTGTTTATTTGTAATTTCTGGCTGTTTACCGTCAGTCTACACAACTTTTAAAGAATATCGAATGAAATTGATGTCGCAGTAATCGGTTTTCCAGCATTTGTTAGTATGTTTTGTGATCTAGGTGGAAAGTGGACGTGGAACTTGTGATGTGGAAAGTCAAAGGATTTTTCTCGAAATTGAGAAAATTCTTTGGAAGTTTATTCATTTCTTTCCAATCACGACATTGAAAGGCTTTAACATGGTATATCACTCGACTATTGCAGTGATTAATTGTTCTACCTGATTTTTGGTGGAAAACAAAAACTAAAACATATCCAAATAAAAGTCCCTCCATTTTCAATGGTCGGAACAACAAGTCTTAGTAGCCGCCTTTTGTACAAGCAGCAGAGAATATTTGACCATATATCATGAAAGATTGTTTTTGATGAAATAATTTGAAAGTCTGAGAGAATAAGAAAGACCAAATAAAAAACAATTAGTGAAATAGAAAACCTAACTTAGCCATTCTTATGTTTAAATCAGCTTTTTCCTAGGTAATTTTGTATATAGCCAAGAGTTGTTATAGCTAATAATTATTAATTCTAAAACTCCAAACTCATTTGATTGGAACCAGAAAAAAGTTTTTCAAAATTATATGCATCATGATTCGCACCATTTGTGATTAAAAAGGAATGACTATGATTAAAATCAAATGGAGAAACAAAAAAAAATCAAAAATCGTTTTTGTCAATAAAAATTGCAACAAAAGCCCAAAAGAATACGGAAATAAATCGCCTGCACCAATAGAATTTTTCTAAATGGTTTTAGAAATGCTGTAAAAAAGGCAAATTTTCAAAATACTCCTTTCTGCAGAACTAAGCAGACAGACAAAAATCTAAATTAGCCAAAGTTTTCTATTTGCAAAAAAAAACAGGTCTCAACTAGAATTTAACTCCTGGCCTTTGTCGTCTCAAGCATAGAGGTTACAACAACTTGAAATTGAGCTAAACCATCGAACTACGGGAACCAAGCTCCCCTCAGAGCACACGAACGTCCACAAAAACTTTTTTTGGTTGCAAGGACGCAATAAAAGGCCCCTATTCGACATTAATTAATCCGAAAATTATTATGCCGATATAAAAGACACAAAAAAGGGAAAAAAATGCAATGGCACCTAAACCGACAAAACATAAGCAGACAAATAATAGGTCAAAACTTTTTTCTTCCGGAATATTTACCGTTTGAAAAACAACGGTCCTGGTCAGGTTCCAACACAGGACCTTTGCCGTCTCAGGCGTATTCGTCACCACCAGGCTAAGTCTGCATTACAAAATTTGGATTCATAATGAACCATGGTACATCATGAGTTCAAAGAGTCCTGTGGACAACGTTGTTGACGGGAAAAAATTAAGTACACGATTGTAATACCCTTGCATAGGGTCACAAGGGTAAAAAAAAGTTTGAAAACAAATTTTTGCCAATTTCATAATGAAGTTGAAATTGATAATGCTGTTAAAGTTTATACCTGATCAGTGAAACAACGCACACCAAAAGCGTGAACAGTCAATCGATCTCCATGGACTCTCTACAACAACTTATAGGGTGTAATTATAATTAGTTTCTAATATAATTAGTTTCTAAGTTCGGCAGATCCACACCCTCTGAACAAAAAATCGCATGCTTTTGATAGGGAAGTAAATCTTCAAGACAAGAAAATCTAAAACTAGTACCAACTTGCAACAAATTATATGCTCAACCGATACACAGCGAACTTACTTTGAAAATATTAATGCGATATATACCATGAATTACCGTTCGTATTTTTTAAATGTATGTACAAGATACTTGGTTGCTTTCAAATTTATACACAATTTTTTACATGAAATCACCCGACAATGATAGATTGACCTCGTGATTTGACCAGCTTGCTTGGTTGCTTTCAAACTTTTTACATCATTTTTACAAGAAATCATCCTACAGTAGTAGATTGGCCATGTGATTTGACCTTGACTTTGTTTAAATTTTGAACAGTTTTTTGGCTAAAGATGATGTTTTTTTTTCCTTCAATTTCTCTATTTTATTTCCGTTCACGACTTGACTGTGAGTCTGGCCTCGGTGATCAGTTTGCCGAACTTGTTCGTCGCCTCACAGATGTAGTCTCCCTGATCTTCCCTTGTCACCTTTGATATCCTCAGTGAACACTCTCCGTCTGATTTATGCTGAATGGTGATTCGGCCACCCGCTTTGATTGGCCTGCCATCTTTTCTCCACGAAACCTGAACGAAAGATTTGTTAATGAAAATCAATTCCTGTTTTTCCTTTTTTTCTATCTTAGGAGAGGATACGTTGAAACGTATCAGCTCTACCAATTCTTTGACATGATGTTGAAACTCCAAAAAATGCTTTTTTTTTTCATGCTTTATTAAGGGCCAAAGAACGTCTAATGAATTGAAAAACATCTATAATCGAGGTGATTATGTCCATGGTTTGACGTAGATTTCCCCATAGAACTCGTTCTGAATAAGATTTTCAGCGTTTTTCCATTCAAATAGGTATATATTCATAAGTTCATCTATATCATCTTCATACAGATGAATATATGAAGCTATGGATGATTAATACTCTGAGCTGAAAACGGAACTTGCCACTGGGATTGGGTTTCCGGACACCTCGCAGCCCATCTTACAGTTCTTGCCCACTTTGACCGACATGTCATTCAGCTCATCGTCAAACTCAGGAGCTCGCGGTTCTCCCAGACTAAAACATGAACTGACTAACTGATAAGAAGAGAGTTAACAACCTTTTTTTTGTAAACTTCTTGTCGGAAGTTTCTTCTTGAGGAAACAATTCCAAGAAACCAATGGTCAACAAGCTAACGAAGCGTTCCAGGAGTTAACTAAAGGTCACTATATAGTCAATAAGTTATCTGATGGATTCAAAAGTCAATCAAGGGTTTCTATTGCGTCTTATTGTCAATCAATTGTTTCTGAATCGATAATTTCTACAAACCTTCTACAAAAGTTTATCACGCGGATCAACTAAACTTTTTCTGAAAACTTCTTGAACAGTTATGCAATTAAAAAAGGAAAATGTACGCAGATGAGGAGTGGCAAAAAGCTCCTCTACTCACTCCTCTTCCTCAATGAGAGTGTCGTCTGCCCTCGAGGTTCCTCCAGACTGTAGTCCCATCCTGCTTCCAGGTATGTCTGACCTGGACATGGAGGCCCTGGAGAGAGAGGCACGCGATATCTGTCTGCTCTCTTTCACCATCTGCGTCAGACCTGAACAAATAAACAGTAAAAAAGATATTGCATTGGGAAGCCGGTAGGTCTAATTCAGGTCTCAAACGGCCAGTACTACTACACAGAAATAGGCTAATTTTTCGCGTACCAAGAATTAGCATTAAATCTATCTAAACTATAAATATTTCGCGTGTGTCTGTGTGGCATCGTCTGCTATTAGATTTTTTGTAATAATGCAAATACCTTTCAGGTGCGGAACATTATCTAAAAAGTTGAAATCCAAGTTGAATTAATAACTTTCCAATAAAAGCGCAAAAAAGCAAAATAGGCGACACCTCTACGTTTATTTCGCAATTGTTTTCCCTTAGATGCTTACAAGCGAAAATAAAATAAGTGCAACTTTTTTGAAGAATTTTAGTAATTTTCAGTTTTAATTTAAAAAATAACCGACAATACTGAAACTTTCTATGCAATAAAATAAAATGAATTTGTTGTACTTCCTTTTTTTAAGCACGGAAAAGCTTTTGGAAGCGCTTCCTTAAGAAAGCGCTAAAATTTAGATAATGGTTAAATTTCAGATTGACAGATAACTCTTGTTCTATTCGATTAATAAAATTTCACATTATAGTCGCCCACCAAACTACAGCCTCCCCCAATTATTAATAAATTTCGAATGGCGAAGTAAACTCAATCATAATTTTTTTCCAAGGCTAGATACTAAGATGGTGAAGAGCCTTGAAACATTCTCGACAGTGTTTCAGTATTGAGCTACCAAAATGCAGTTACCAAGTATCACTGAACGAACTTGCGACGAATAAAAGTAAAAACTAAATGAAAAAAACTGTCAAGGATGCTAGCAAAAAAAATCTTATTTAGATGCTATCAAAAAAATCAATAATAGTATTCAAAGATATTAACAAAAAATATTCAAATTCTCATCTTTCAAAATACTTACAGTTAACTGCAGATGCAGAAAACCAAACTTTAACATGGAAATAAAATAGTTTCGCAAAAACTACACATTAAGGGCGAGACAGCAGTAAATAAAATATATGAAAAACAGCAAAACTCATACACTATATTGAGTAATACAATAAAAATATAATGACAAAACTGCAGAATAAAGTTTCTAGGTCAGCCTTTAATCAACTTTTATATTGAGTAATCTCACTATATTGAGTACTACAATGATAACATAATGACAGAACTGTAGAATAAAATTTCTAGGCCAGCCTTTGGTCAACTTTTATCTAATTTAGTCTGAAAAACGATGATAGCCAGACCAGTTTTTTCAAACAAAGACGAAGCTACATTGGAAAAGAAAACGAAAAAAAGTAAAATAGAAAATATTGAGAATTAGTAACACAGTGCTACGTTTCAGATTCGAACTTAAGACCTAGAAATTTGGCTTCTCATTTCCTTTTTTCTCAGCCACAAACGATTACCGATTGTCAAACACGAGCCGCAATTAAAGCAGAGAAGCAATGCTATGAAATTTCCAATGCTGCAGATTGTGATGATAGTAAAAGTACCACGAAATGAGCACATTTATTTGCTATTCAAGCTGGAAAAAAGTGGAGTCTTACTAATACACTACGCTCGCTGGCTCGCAAGTGTAAGCCTTCGGGCATCTGTTATGATTTTTCACTTCAAGAACCCAAATTACGGCTGAAAAAATTTGTACCGGAAACTATACAGCACTTGACCCTCTGCCAGCTTTTTTAAAATCTTGTGGAATAAAATAGAAACCCCATCTTAGTTACAAAAAACTTATGGCTCCTTGAACTCTGTTTTTTTTTCATATGTGAGGTTTATTTTACGAGGAGCAAGCTATAATGGAAAAAAATCCAAAATTAAATATAACATTAGCGCAATCCTACGCCTAAATAATAGACTAAAAATTTTTAATGTAGTCCATAATTTACTGAATACCACCAGATGCTGAAAATAACAAGCGGTTATGCTTACATTTTTTAGCTTTGAATTTTTTGAAAATCTCAAATAAATTTTGAAATTTTCTTGCAACTCGTTGCACCACACGACGCCGTTTTAAGTACAAAGGGATAGATATCGCTTCTAGTTTTGTAAAAAAAAATATGACAACTAGATTGCTTGAACCAATTTGAAACGATTTCTAAGACGGATTAAAACTCCGCTTACGCATTAATGGCGCAAAATATATTGCGTGTTAAATGTTCTAAATTGGCCATGCTAACGATCTTTAAACCTCCATAACATGAAAAATAATAATCACAAGTGAAATATCTTTTTAAATTTGAGTTCCGGACAACAAAACTTTTCAAATTACTTTGAAAACTTTTGAAAATTTCAGTCAAAAATTGCTAGTTATCATAGTCGAACGTTGTCTGGAGACAAGAAACACCCGAGCAAAATTATTCCGTTATTTTTTTGAAAATAGTCTGAACAATAAGTTTACAAAGCAAAGCACAAAATTTATCGCAATTTTTTCCACCGCAGAAACCCGTGCTCTAAATTGCAGGGGTTTGGCATTGATTTACCAATTTGCCGCGCACTGAGCAGCTGAAAATTTCAGTTTCTATTGTAATGCCATCGAATTGCGAAAAGGAATTAAATTTCATGCATGCTCAACACATTGAACCGATGAACCTGATGCCTGAAATCGTTAGGGTTTTATACAGTTCTTCCAGTAAGGAGCTACAAATTGCCGCCCAAATAATAAAACCAAACCTCATTTGAATATTAATGACGCCTAAAAATAAGCAAAAAGGTGGTAGTCACTAACTCTAAACCATTTGTTCTGTATTTCACCGTAAATTTGATTTACGTAATTCTATAAACACCGTAAATTTGATTTCACCGTAAATTTCTGTATTTCAGTTGTATGCTTTTACAGCCCTATAGCAACTGGTTACTACTCTAGATATCTACAAGGATAGCCGGTGGCTGTGCAAGTAGCACAGAATGTTCCGACCAAATTCTTTAAAAAACTGCAAAAATTGTTGAAACATTGAACTATACCTTCATCTACAGCCATGAGGTCGAATGAGCACTGAGTGGGTAGTGGCGAGATGGAACTGGAGAGAGTGACGCAATAAGAAGCCTCGTCAGTCACACTCGCATCTCTGATCACCATCCAGTGTCTGTTCGATGAGTCATCACGGCCAAATGTTATCCTCTCATTCTCCACAATAGCTGCAAAATTTTGTGAAATTACACAATTTTGTTGTTTGTTAAAAAAAGAACTTTGTTTTTTTTCAACGTTTTGCTCAATTCATTAGAATTTTTTCATTGCTGAAGTTTCAACTCAAGAAATTTGTTTAAGTCGATTTAAGCCCTTGCAAATTTTTAATTTGATCATTGTTTTATAGCTATCAAATAGTTTTTTAGCTATCATGTAGCAAAAGTCACGCGAAGCTTTTGAACATTTCTCAAAAATGCCATTTTTACTTCAACTATTTTTGATTCAATTCAAAAATAGGAAAGATCTAGAATATTCCAGAATATCTTACTTAGTTTTTCCTTTAACCAGGAGACAGTCGGCCTCGGATTTCCTGACACTTCAACCTCCACTCGTATAGTCTTCCCAGTGAAGAAGATGTCGTCTGTCGGCTTCACCAGGAACATCGGCTCCGAGGGGGGACGACTGGGGTCCAGTTGGGGCTCGGAGGAGCCAGAGGCGGAGTCGACACTGTCCCAGCCACCCTTGGAAGGAGAGTCGAAACCCATGTCGCTGAAAGTAGAAGCGAATATCTTTGAGGCTGTAGCTTGTTGGATTTACAAAAACTAATAGAAAAAATTGCTGATTTATGAAAAAAGCTTTGATTCCACTTTTTTGCTTCATTACTTAAAATTTGCATTACGACCACTTGACGAAGTGGGGAGGAACCATAACGTAGGGTTTTTTCCACTTCATTTAATTTTAATTACAAAAAAAAATTAAAAACTTCATCTCATTTCCAGAAATTTGCTTTTGAGTGTTTTCGTTTTTGAGACCAACTTGATGATACTGAACTCAATGACGATAAATTTGATCCCAGTTTTGTTTTAGTTAACTTCACAAGTTATTCTAGTCTCCTTTTTGTAGTTTTTATTCGATTCAATAAAAGTAATCAGACTTTTTTCAATTTTTTCAGAAACTGTCTTCATTTTCTTTGACTTTATTTTCATCAATAATTCACTCTGGTTGGACTGTTCTGTGGTAATTGCACATCAGCAACCAGTTATCTTTGTTTACTTTTTCAACTTTAAAAATTTACATCGGCAAAAATTAAAATCAAAAAGAAGTTTACCTATACTATATACTATTTCTAGAACTTTCTAGAACTCTAGAAAAATAAATAAAATTCGCCAACTTACTAGAAAGTTTTCTCCATGTACATCAGCATACCCTTCGTGATCGGTTTTTTGAAAGCACTTATAGTCTTGATTCTCAGAGTCGCCTTTTTCCACAACCACTTCAGCCTCTCGTTCCTATTTCCACGAACAGGACAATTCCTGGAAAGCGAATTGCCGCCTGAAACTTCGTTTTCCTTCAACTGAATGATTTTGAGTTGTTTGTCGTATCCCTCCCACCAATCATCATCGTCGATTCCGTAGATCTGAGGCTTGAAGATTCCAGGATTTGTCTGCAACGTTGCATCCGTTTCCTCTTCAAACGCATAAGCATCTTCGTCCAAACTAGCAAATTTATCCGTGGGTATCTGGACTGTCTTGCATCGCGAGAACTCCTCGGGACGTGCGTTGGCTCTGAAGATGCTGAACAAATGGACGCTGAAATCTTTCGGACCATATCCAGGCATTTCAAGGTCGCTCTGTGTTGCGTATGTTGGAGCTACGGTGAATGGTTCGTCTTTAAAGGTGACTTCACTCATTTGATCTACTATTGTAATACCTTGAAGTGTTATTTCTCTCACTGAAACTTCGTTCAGATTTGCGGGTTTATATAACACCTCTTTGCAATGTTCGACGATCTTCTGTTTTGGTGTGACTGGAATAGCGCTTAGCAGGTGTTCCTGATTGTCTGCATTTCTAGCCCGGGTTGATATTTCATAACGTCTGCAATGAAGGTCGACCGGTTTCTGATGAACCAAACTAACCCTAACTGGTTCTTTTTCGGGTTTGAAAGTTTCAGGCTTTATCCATGTAAATCCAAACTCTTTGGGTTCTACGAAGCAATCTTTGGCAAGGTCATCAAAAGGAATCACAGGAGCATTTTCAACTGGTCTTGTTTCTTCAATCAACATCGCAAATGTGTATTCATCGACCATAAGGTGAAGTGGCATTGTTTCCTCCAGCTTCAACGTCGCCTCAAAAGGAACCGCAATTCGGCTTTCATCATTGAACAAATTGATTGGTGCTGAACACAAACCCGACTCAGGTATTGTCTCGTAAAATGGGTATTCTTCAATTGCGGGGAGAATCTCTTCGCACCTCAAGTTGGGTTTTTCCTCAGCCAACCAACCGGAACCCTGGTAGATTTCAGTAGTGATAACTTGGTTCTTTGCTACTGCTGGTTTCACATGATCTCCGAAGGCCTGTTCACGTATTCTCGAACCTTGAATGGGCACTGTTCTCTCGTTGAATTCTTCGTCGGAATTTTTCTGCTTGGAAATCAATTTAGAGACGTGAACAGTTGCTGAGTTCAGATCGGGTTTTATTTTGATCAGTTTTGCGTTTTCAGCTTTCGGTTTTGTTTTTTCCAATGGATCCACTCTAAGAGATCCGATCAATGTTTTCTCAACGCCAAATCCATCGTAGAAATCTGGCAAGCCAAATCCAGGCGCTTCTGATTGCAATTGATTCTCGGTGTCCAGTATCATTGCAAACTCCGGTTCACTGGTTTGGAACTCAAGCAATGGCTCTGGCTCTTTGGCTATCGATGCCAGTGCTACTGAAACTTCAGTCACTTTAACTGTATGTCGCTTCGGTTTGCGGCTTGGTATAGACTTGGCTACTCTGGTTTTGCGACTTTGAACTGTCAGTTCCATTGGTCTTGCCCATTTCGCTTCGCATTCGACGACTTTGCCAAACTCATAATCAGTGACCAAAGATCCTTTGAAAGTTGAAATTTTAGGATGATGAAGAACATAAAAGTCTGTGCTTTGAGTGATGTAATTGAAAGAATATTTCAAAGGATACTGTTCAAGAATATTCTCCGGTTCTTCTTTTTTGAATTCGGAGTCAAGTTCTTTCAAGAAAGGGCTGAACTCTTTCGGTGTCATGATCTTGTCAACGTTTTCTTTCGGCATGGTCATCAACTTCTTATATAAGTTTTTAGGAATAACAACATCACGTTTAGGAATCAATGGTTTGGTCAGGACCTTGAAGGAGATCACTTTGTCGAAATGAGGCCTCAATTTCTCCAATTCTGGATCCTGTGGTGTTCTGGGATCTACCAGTGGTTGCACAATTTCACTCCTTTTACCAATTTCTGGATATATTTTTTCAGGAATGTCGAAAAAAGTTACTGAGTAAGTTGTTGTTGTAGTTCGGAGTATTCTTTCAAATTGAAGTTCAATAGTTTGTTTCGTGATCAATGAATCATCAGGATGTTTTCTGGGGTAGCTTAAGTCTTCGGGCAATTTCGGTGGATTTTCAGTTCCGGATTCTGATTTTGGTGTGAAAAAGTCAAGGTCGAACTGAGACCATGTAAAATCAGGTGGTGCGTCTAATCCTCTGGGTTTTTCTGTAGGCTTGATTTCATCAGTGAAGAACTTGATGGAACTTTTGAATTTATTCAGAGAAACGAATTTTCCGTGAACCTTCGGGGCGTAATTGGGCCTCTCAAAATTCATCGATGCCATGAACCCACGCAATTTAACAGACAAATCTTCTGGTTCAGGTGAAAACGTTCTCAGGAAACGTCGCATTTCGGGAGTCTTTTCCAATTCGGTGAAGTAAACAGTCAATAACTCTGGATCTATCAACTCAGAACCCGGTTCTTTTGGAGTCTTCCTTTCCACCGCTGGTTCTCTGAGTTGACCGGGGCGTCTCATGTCTGCTGGTTGCAATGGTCGGTTGCTTGTGAAGATCCAATCATATACAGTCAGGGCCTCCGGAGTTTCACCATCATCTTGCACCCGCCCATTTCTAGAATTGCGTTCATTACTTACTCATTGGGAAACACGCCGTTTTGACACAGTTTCAAGAAAATCTACAGAGAGCAGCAGAGTAAGCAGTCGTCTCGTTCCCAGTCTTTTTTTTTTTCCAAATCTGATCCTATTGCATCTTTAATGGACCGCAGAAATAGGGACTCGACCCTCTCTTGTCATTCTTTGAGAACACGTCATCCATTTTCGTCCATTCAGCCCTGAAAAAATGTTCTATAAGCGCATTTGGCGCTAATTAAAACTAATTTGCAACACGAGCCAACGCCAAAATGTTCAAGGTTTTGGTCAAAGTGTTCTTAAAAGTGCTCGATATTTTTGTTCCAAAAATCAAGAAAGAATGATTGTGATCTGACCACGCAATGACGTAGACTTCGGCAGCAGGTTATCTATCTACTGTCCAGCGGGGAAAAAGCTTATAAACAAAAAGACCATTTGTGTAACTTTAAAAAAAAATTTTGAAAGTTATTTTTTTAAGATTTGTTGGAAAAAGATAACAGGGTCGAGTTAATAACTTGCTTTTTGAAAGGTTTGGAGGGTAATTAAATACACTGGAAAATAATTAAAAATCACCATCTTTTGATAAGGATTTCATTGAATGTAAATTTGATAAATTAATTGCTATTTGATTCTGTAAAAACAGTGGTGAACAAAATCGCACAAAAATGTTACAGAGCACTTTTTTGGTTGTTTATCAGGGGCGAGCTGATCAGCTGATACTGACAAGAATTTATAAACAACAGATTTGTTTGACAATGTAGAACCATATAATTCCACCTAATTATAAATCACAGAATCTGCAGCTTTAAAGAAAAGATTGGACTGGAGCCTGGTGGCCGGTAAGGCGCATGATGGAGATGGCATTCAATTAAGTTTGAAAAGTTCAAGAAAACTTGTTTATGATAAACTAACGCAATTATGAAAACTTTTGGATTGAAGTGGACTTTTCATTGATGAAAAATCATTCACCACAAAATAATGTTGCTCACGTACGTCTCAGCATCGAGTGAACATTGAATTAAAATTTATTCAGTCAATGAAGAGGGTATGTAGAGACTAGAACATAGTGGTTTATAATGCCTGAAGTGAATGAAAAGATACTTTAATAAACTTTTCATAAAGTTTGGTTCTTTTTTTAAATAGTCGAACAAAACGTGGGACTGGCAGTTTCTCGGCTTCTTATAAAACCGCATCCAGTTTCAAGCATTCATAATCGATATTATTTTGAGTTTATTATCAGTCTTACGTAAATTGAGAGAAAATTTAACTTTTATGAATTAATGATGGATTATAACCTCTAAAACTATTTAAACCATATAGTATCGATTATGTATCCAATCTTTTTTCAACCCACTTATAATTGATGATAAACAACTATTTTCATCCCAATTTTTATTGTCTGCAAAAATCCATTATAATCAATTGATTGTTATCGATTATAATCTTTTTGTTTTGCCCATTTTGCCTTCAACCTTGCATCTGAATTGCTTATTCTTCATACTTTTGATAGACGATGGTTTTATTCGGAAAAGTTACTTATCATTTACCGCGGTAACCTTTCAACTAATATGATAGAATCTCTATGAAACTTTTGTTTCGCTGTAAGACTTTGCTCAGATGAACCAAAGCGTTACAAGACATCTCGCTTTTATAGATTTCGTTATTGACAGTGAAATTATAACCCATGAGAAATAATTAAATATGTTTTTGGTGTGATTAAAATTTTGGCGAAATCGAAGACTATAACCAATTATAATTAAATTAAAGTTTTTTTTGTTTGAACTGTGCTCATATCAAATAAATCAAATCTATAATCGCTTACTTACACCTAAACTTAGATGCAGGAAGCAACTAAGTGTGTCTCATTGTATTTGACTTAATTGTGTTACAAAACTGCCCTAGATACCATTACAATTTATAGCGACCTCTCATTTCAAAATTAAGCCCCAAAAAAATAAAAGCAGGTTTTCGGTCAACCAGTAAAACAAAAATGAACAACAACATTGAATAACTTCTCATCTCGGTGTAATTGGGATGGTTAAGAAACTAAAATCTTATGATCCTGTGTTCATGACCCTGGAGTGTATACAAGCGCTGTTTTTCTGCTGTTAATAAGTAACACAAACAGCATCCAGTTTCATCTGCTGCTTGTACAACAGGCGACTACCAAGCCATCAAGTTTCAAGCTAAAATAGTCAATTGTATTATGATTTTCATACCAGTCGTACTAAAATTGAGAAATAAAAATTTATTTTAATCAATTAATAGTCGATTATATTCTTTTTTTCGATCAAGTTATTATCAATTGTAACTCAATTCAAACGATTGTAATTGATTATTATTCAATCTATTTTTTGATACCATTATAGTCGATCATTATCGATTATTTTTATTCCAATTTCTAATTCAAATGTTTTGCACAAAACTATCCAGTGTTATCATTTATACTCTATTCTAATCCCTTTTGTTTGCCCGTGTTGTCTTCGACCTTGCATCTGAACTGCTTATTTTATATGCTTTTGTAGACGTTGGTTTATGTGAAAAATGAGAATATTATTTTGAAAGGTTTCAAATCAATTCAAACCTATAACGTTTTTAGTTTTTCTATTTGTCCTCCATTAGAGTTGTTTCAAGATGCACATTTTAGGTTTTGTTAACCACCAAAATATCAGCGTAAAGCTTTACTTTCATGATTTGTTTGGAATTTTTTTTCACCTACCACGGGAACTTTTCTACTAATATCAAAGAATCTCTGTGAAAATTTTGTTTCGTGGTAAATTTTTGTGTTCAGATGAACCAAAGTATGACAAGATATCTCAATTTTGAGATTTTTTTTGTTATTGACAGAAAAAATAATAACCCATTAGAGTTATTGAAATGATTTTTTTCTTCTGCTAAATTTTTGGCAAAACTAGAAATTATAATCGTTTTTAATCGATTATAATTGATTTCAAGACTTCTTTTTATCAGTTGTATTCGATTATAAGAGATTATAACCTCAAGGAAAAATTACGGTTATAGTCGATTATAATTCCTCTAAACAGCTCATTTTGGTAGTTATAATCAATCAAAATTGTCAGAAAAGTTAAGATGATAATCCGTTATAATCGATTACTTTCGTTTAAACTTGGATGCGGGCAAAAAAAAGTTAATTTTTCTATTAATTGTGACCCGTTCAGTGTTTGATTTTTAAAAAATTGCTCCGTAGTTTCGATTTTTTTGTAATGGATAAATAAGAGTGAAAATTGATTTTTACTAGCCAATTGTATTTTATAACTAAGATTTACAACTATCTAACTGTCTGTTTATTTGTAATTTCTGGCTGTTTACCGTCAGTCTACACAACTTTTAAAGAATATCGAATGAAATTGATGTCGCAGTAATCGGTTTTCCAGCATTTGTTAGTATGTTTTGTGATCTAGGTGGAAAGTGGACGTGGAACTTGTGATGTGGAAAGTCAGAGGATTTTTCTCGAAATTGAGAAAATTCTTTGGAACTTTATTCATTTCTTTCCAATCACGACATTGAAAGGCTTTAACATGGTATATCACTCGACTATTGCAGTGATTAATTGTTCTACCTGATTTTTGGTGGAAAACAAAAACTAAAACATATCCAAATAAAAGTCCCTCCATTTTCAATGGTCGGAACAACAAGTCTTAGTAGCCGCCTTTTGTACAAGCAGCAGAGAATATTTGACCATATATCATGAAAGATTGTTTTTGATGAAATAATTTGAAAGTCTGAGAGAATAAGAAAGACCAAATAAAAAACAATTAGTGAAATAGAAAACCTAACTTAGCCATTCTTATGTTTAAATCAGCTTTTTCCTAGGTAATTTTGTATATAGCCAAGAGTTGTTATAGCTAATAATTATTAATTCTAAAACTCCAAACTCATTTGATTGGAACCAGAAAAAAGTTTTTCAAAATTATATGCATCATGATTCGCACCATTTGTGATTAAAAAGGAATGACTATGATTAAAATCAAATGGAGAAACAAAAAAAAATCAAAAATCGTTTTTGTCAATAAAAATTGCAACAAAAGCCCAAAAGAATACGGAAATAAATCGCCTGCACCAATAGAATTTTTCTAAATGGTTTTAGAAATGCTGTAAAAAAGGCAAATTTTCAAAATACTCCTTTCTGCAGAACTAAGCAGACAGACAAAAATCTAAATTAGCCAAAGTTTTCTATTTGCAAAAAAAAACAGGTCTCAACTAGAATTTAACTCCTGGCCTTTGTCGTCTCAAGCATAGAGGTTACAACAACTTGAAATTGAGCTAAACCATCGAACTACGGGAACCAAGCTCCCCTCAGAGCACACGAACGTCCACAAAAACTTTTTTTGGTTGCAAGGACGCAATAAAAGGCCCCTATTCGACATTAATTAATCCGAAAATTATTATGCCGATATAAAAGACACAAAAAAGGGAAAAAAATGCAATGGCACCTAAACCGACAAAACATAAGCAGACAAATAATAGGTCAAAACTTTTTTCTTCCGGAATATTTACCGTTTGAAAAACAACGGTCCTGGTCAGGTTCCAACACAGGACCTTTGCCGTCTCAGGCGTATTCGTCACCACCAGGCTAAGTCTGCATTACAAAATTTGGATTCATAATGAACCATGGTACATCATGAGTTCAAAGAGTCCTGTGGACAACGTTGTTGACGGGAAAAAATTAAGTACACGATTGTAATACCCTTGCATAGGGTCACAAGGGTAAAAAAAAGTTTGAAAACAAATTTTTGCCAATTTCATAATGAAGTTGAAATTGATAATGCTGTTAAAGTTTATACCTGATCAGTGAAACAACGCACACCAAAAGCGTGAACAGTCAATCGATCTCCATGGACTCTCTACAACAACTTATAGGGTGTAATTATAATTAGTTTCTAATATAATTAGTTTCTAAGTTCGGCAGATCCACACCCTCTGAACAAAAAATCGCATGCTTTTGATAGGGAAGTAAATCTTCAAGACAAGAAAATCTAAAACTAGTACCAACTTGCAACAAATTATATGCTCAACCGATACACAGCGAACTTACTTTGAAAATATTAATGCGATATATACCATGAATTACCGTTCGTATTTTTTAAATGTATGTACAAGATACTTGGTTGCTTTCAAATTTATACACAATTTTTTACATGAAATCACCCGACAATGATAGATTGACCTCGTGATTTGACCAGCTTGCTTGGTTGCTTTCAAACTTTTTACATCATTTTTACAAGAAATCATCCTACAGTAGTAGATTGGCCATGTGATTTGACCTTGACTTTGTTTAAATTTTGAACAGTTTTTTGGCTAAAGATGATGTTTTTTTTTCCTTCAATTTCTCTATTTTATTTCCGTTCACGACTTGACTGTGAGTCTGGCCTCGGTGATCAGTTTGCCGAACTTGTTCGTCGCCTCACAGATGTAGTCTCCCTGATCTTCCCTTGTCACCTTTGATATCCTCAGTGAACACTCTCCGTCTGATTTATGCTGAATGGTGATTCGGCCACCCGCTTTGATTGGCCTGCCATCTTTTCTCCACGAAACCTGAACGAAAGATTTGTTAATGAAAATCAATTCCTGTTTTTCCTTTTTTTCTATCTTAGGAGAGGATACGTTGAAACGTATCAGCTCTACCAATTCTTTGACATGATGTTGAAACTCCAAAAAATGCTTTTTTTTCATGCTTTATTAAGGGCCAAAGAACGTCTAATGAATTGAAAAACATCTATAATCGAGGTGATTATGTCCATGGTTTGACGTAGATTTCCCCATAGAACTCGTTCTGAATAAGATTTTCAGCGTTTTTCCATTCAAATAGGTATATATTCATAAGTTCATCTATATCATCTTCATACAGATGAATATATGAAGCTATGGATGATTAATACTCTGAGCTGAAAACGGAACTTGCCACTGGGATTGGGTTTCCGGACACCTCGCAGCCCATCTTACAGTTCTTGCCCACTTTGACCGACATGTCATTCAGCTCATCGTCAAACTCAGGAGCTCGCGGTTCTCCCAGACTAAAACATGAACTGACTAACTGATAAGAAGAGAGTTAACAACCTTTTTTTTGTAAACTTCTTGTCGGAAGTTTCTTCTTGAGGAAACAATTCCAAGAAACCAATGGTCAACAAGCTAACGAAGCGTTCCAGGAGTTAACTAAAGGTCACTATATAGTCAATAAGTTATCTGATGGATTCAAAAGTCAATCAAGGGTTTCTATTGCGTCTTATTGTCAATCAATTGTTTCTGAATCGATAATTTCTACAAACCTTCTACAAAAGTTTATCACGCGGATCAACTAAACTTTTTCTGAAAACTTCTTGAACAGTTATGCAATTAAAAAAGGAAAATGTACGCAGATGAGGAGTGGCAAAAAGCTCCTCTACTCACTCCTCTTCCTCAATGAGAGTGTCGTCTGCCCTCGAGGTTCCTCCAGACTGTAGTCCCATCCTGCTTCCAGGTATGTCTGACCTGGACATGGAGGCCCTGGAGAGAGAGGCACGCGATATCTGTCTGCTCTCTTTCACCATCTGCGTCAGACCTGAACAAATAAACAGTAAAAAAGATATTGCATTGGGAAGCCGGTAGGTCTAATTCAGGTCTCAAACGGCCAGTACTACTACACAGAAATAGGCTAATTTTTCGCGTACCAAGAATTAGCATTAAATCTATCTAAACTATAAATATTTCGCGTGTGTCTGTGTGGCATCGTCTGCTATTAGATTTTTTGTAATAATGCAAATACCTTTCAGGTGCGGAACATTATCTAAAAAGTTGAAATCCAAGTTGAATTAATAACTTTCCAATAAAAGCGCAAAAAAGCAAAATAGGCGACACCTCTACGTTTATTTCGCAATTGTTTTCCCTTAGATGCTTACAAGCGAAAATAAAATAAGTGCAACTTTTTTGAAGAATTTTAGTAATTTTCAGTTTTAATTTAAAAAATAACCGACAATACTGAAACTTTCTATGCAATAAAATAAAATGAATTTGTTGTACTTCCTTTTTTTAAGCACGGAAAAGCTTTTGGAAGCGCTTCCTTAAGAAAGCGCTAAAATTTAGATAATGGTTAAATTTCAGATTGACAGATAACTCTTGTTCTATTCGATTAATAAAATTTCACATTATAGTCGCCCACCAAACTACAGCCTCCCCCAATTATTAATAAATTTCGAATGGCGAAGTAAACTCAATCATAATTTTTTTCCAAGGCTAGATACTAAGATGGTGAAGAGCCTTGAAACATTCTCGACAGTGTTTCAGTATTGAGCTACCAAAATGCAGTTACCAAGTATCACTGAACGAACTTGCGACGAATAAAAGTAAAAACTAAATGAAAAAAACTGTCAAGGATGCTAGCAAAAAAAATCTTATTTAGATGCTATCAAAAAAATCAATAATAGTATTCAAAGATATTAACAAAAAATATTCAAATTCTCATCTTTCAAAATACTTACAGTTAACTGCAGATGCAGAAAACCAAACTTTAACATGGAAATAAAATAGTTTCGCAAAAACTACACATTAAGGGCGAGACAGCAGTAAATAAAATATATGAAAAACAGCAAAACTCATACACTATATTGAGTAATACAATAAAAATATAATGACAAAACTGCAGAATAAAGTTTCTAGGTCAGCCTTTAATCAACTTTTATATTGAGTAATCTCACTATATTGAGTACTACAATGATAACATAATGACAGAACTGTAGAATAAAATTTCTAGGCCAGCCTTTGGTCAACTTTTATCTAATTTAGTCTGAAAAACGATGATAGCCAGACCAGTTTTTTCAAACAAAGACGAAGCTACATTGGAAAAGAAAACGAAAAAAAGTAAAATAGAAAATATTGAGAATTAGTAACACAGTGCTACGTTTCAGATTCGAACTTAAGACCTAGAAATTTGGCTTCTCATTTCCTTTTTTCTCAGCCACAAACGATTACCGATTGTCAAACACGAGCCGCAATTAAAGCAGAGAAGCAATGCTATGAAATTTCCAATGCTGCAGATTGTGATGATAGTAAAAGTACCACGAAATGAGCACATTTATTTGCTATTCAAGCTGGAAAAAAGTGGAGTCTTACTAATACACTACGCTCGCTGGCTCGCAAGTGTAAGCCTTCGGGCATCTGTTATGATTTTTCACTTCAAGAACCCAAATTACGGCTGAAAAAATTTGTACCGGAAACTATACAGCACTTGACCCTCTGCCAGCTTTTTTAAAATCTTGTGGAATAAAATAGAAACCCCATCTTAGTTACAAAAAACTTATGGCTCCTTGAACTCTGTTTTTTTTTTCATATGTGAGGTTTATTTTACGAGGAGCAAGCTATAATGGAAAAAAATCCAAAATTAAATATAACATTAGCGCAATCCTACGCCTAAATAATAGACTAAAAATTTTTAATGTAGTCCATAATTTACTGAATACCACCAGATGCTGAAAATAACAAGCGGTTATGCTTACATTTTTTAGCTTTGAATTTTTTGAAAATCTCAAATAAATTTTGAAATTTTCTTGCAACTCGTTGCACCACACGACGCCGTTTTAAGTACAAAGGGATAGATATCGCTTCTAGTTTTGTAAAAAAAAAATATGACAACTAGATTGCTTGAACCAATTTGAAACGATTTCTAAGACGGATTAAAACTCCGCTTACGCATTAATGGCGCAAAATATATTGCGTGTTAAATGTTCTAAATTGGCCATGCTAACGATCTTTAAACCTCCATAACATGAAAAATAATAATCACAAGTGAAATATCTTTTTAAATTTGAGTTCCGGACAACAAAACTTTTCAAATTACTTTGAAAACTTTTGAAAATTTCAGTCAAAAATTGCTAGTTATCATAGTCGAACGTTGTCTGGAGACAAGAAACACCCGAGCAAAATTATTCCGTTATTTTTTTGAAAATAGTCTGAACAATAAGTTTACAAAGCAAAGCACAAAATTTATCGCAATTTTTTCCACCGCAGAAACCCGTGCTCTAAATTGCAGGGGTTTGGCATTGATTTACCAATTTGCCGCGCACTGAGCAGCTGAAAATTTCAGTTTCTATTGTAATGCCATCGAATTGCGAAAAGGAATTAAATTTCATGCATGCTCAACACATTGAACCGATGAACCTGATGCCTGAAATCGTTAGGGTTTTATACAGTTCTTCCAGTAAGGAGCTACAAATTGCCGCCCAAATAATAAAACCAAACCTCATTTGAATATTAATGACGCCTAAAAATAAGCAAAAAGGTGGTAGTCACTAACTCTAAACCATTTGTTCTGTATTTCACCGTAAATTTGATTTACGTAATTCTATAAACACCGTAAATTTGATTTCACCGTAAATTTCTGTATTTCAGTTGTATGCTTTTACAGCCCTATAGCAACTGGTTACTACTCTAGATATCTACAAGGATAGCCGGTGGCTGTGCAAGTAGCACAGAATGTTCCGACCAAATTCTTTAAAAAACTGCAAAAATTGTTGAAACATTGAACTATACCTTCATCTACAGCCATGAGGTCGAATGAGCACTGAGTGGGTAGTGGCGAGATGGAACTGGAGAGAGTGACGCAATAAGAAGCCTCGTCAGTCACACTCGCATCTCTGATCACCATCCAGTGTCTGTTAGATGAGTCATCACGGCCAAATGTTATCCTCTCATTCTCCACAATAGCTGCAAAATTTTGTGAAATTACACAATTTTGTTGTTTGTTAAAAAAAGAACTTTGTTTTTTTTTTCAACGTTTTGCTCAATTCATTAGAATTTTTTCATTGCTGAAGTTTCAACTCAAGAAATTTGTTTAAGTCGATTTAAGCCCTTGCAAATTTTTAATTTGATCATTGTTTTATAGCTATCAAATAGTTTTTTAGCTATCATGTAGCAAAAGTCACGCGAAGCTTTTGAACATTTCTCAAAAATGCCATTTTTACTTCAACTATTTTTGATTCAATTCAAAAATAGGAAAGATCTAGAATATTCCAGAATATCTTACTTAGTTTTTCCTTTAACCAGGAGACAGTCGGCCTCGGATTTCCTGACACTTCAACCTCCACTCGTATAGTCTTCCCAGTGAAGAAGATGTCGTCTGTCGGCTTCACCAGGAACATCGGCTCCGAGGGGGGACGACTGGGGTCCAGTTGGGGCTCGGAGGAGCCAGAGGCGGAGTCGACACTGTCCCAGCCACCCTTGGAAGGAGAGTCGAAACCCATGTCGCTGAAAGTAGAAGCGAATATCTTTGAGGATGTAGCTTGTTGGATTTACAAAAACTAATAGAAAAAATTGCTGATTTATGAAAAAAGCTTTGATTCCACTTTTTTGCTTCATTACTTAAAATTTGCATTACGACCACTTGACGAAGTGGGGAGGAACCATAACGTAGGGTTTTTTCCACTTCATTTAATTTTAATTACAAAAAAAAATTAAAAACTTCATCTCATTTCCAGAAATTTGCTTTTGAGTGTTTTCGTTTTTGAGACCAACTTGATGATACTGAACTCAATGACGATAAATTTGATCCCAGTTTTGTTTTAGTTAACTTCACAAGTTATTCTAGTCTCCTTTTTGTAGTTTTTATTCGATTCAATAAAAGTAATCAGACTTTTTTCAATTTTTTCAGAAACTGTCTTCATTTTCTTTGACTTTATTTTCATCAATAATTCACTCTGGTTGGACTGTTCTGTGGTAATTGCACATCAGCAACCAGTTATCTTTGTTTACTTTTTCAACTTTAAAAATTTACATCGGCAAAAATTAAAATCAAAAAGAAGTTTACCTATACTATATACTATTTCTAGAACTTTCTAGAACTCTAGAAAAATAAATAAAATTCGCCAACTTACTAGAAAGTTTTCTCCATGTACATCAGCATACCCTTCGTGATCGGTTTTTTGAAAGCACTTATAGTCTTGATTCTCAGAGTCGCCTTTTTCCACAACCACTTCAGCCTCTCGTTCCTATTTCCACGAACAGGACAATTCCTGGAAAGCGAATTGCCGCCTGAAACTTCGTTTTCCTTCAACTGAATGATTTTGAGTTGTTTGTCGTATCCCTCCCACCAATCATCATCGTCGATTCCGTAGATCTGAGGCTTGAAGATTCCAGGATTTGTCTGCAACGTTGCATCCGTTTCCTCTTCAAACGCATAAGCATCTTCGTCCAAACTAGCAAATTTATCCGTGGGTATCTGGACTGTCTTGCATCGCGAGAACTCCTCGGGACGTGCGTTGGCTCTGAAGATGCTGAACAAATGGACGCTGAAATCTTTCGGACCATATCCAGGCATTTCAAGGTCGCTCTGTGTTGCGTATGTTGGAGCTACGGTGAATGGTTCGTCTTTAAAGGTGACTTCACTCATTTGATCTACTATTGTAATACCTTGAAGTGTTATTTCTCTCACTGAAACTTCGTTCAGATTTGCGGGTTTATATAACACCTCTTTGCAATGTTCGACGATCTTCTGTTTTGGTGTGACTGGAATAGCGCTTAGCAGGTGTTCCTGATTGTCTGCATTTCTAGCCCGGGTTGATATTTCATAACGTCTGCAATGAAGGTCGACCGGTTTCTGATGAACCAAACTAACCCTAACTGGTTCTTTTTCGGGTTTGAAAGTTTCAGGCTTTATCCATGTAAATCCAAACTCTTTGGGTTCTACGAAGCAATCTTTGGCAAGGTCATCAAAAGGAATCACAGGAGCATTTTCAACTGGTCTTGTTTCTTCAATCAACATCGCAAATGTGTCTTCATCGACCATAAGGTGAAGTGGCATTGTTTCCTCCAGCTTCAACGTCGCCTCAAAAGGAACCGCAATTCGGCTTTCATCATTGAACAAATTGATTGGTGCTGAACACAAACCCGACTCAGGTATTGTCTCGTAAAATGGGTATTCTTCAATTGCGGGGAGAATCTCTTCGCACCTCAAGTTGGGTTTTTCCTCAGCCAACCAACCGGAACCCTGGTAGATTTCAGTAGTGATAACTTGGTTCTTTGCTACTGCTGGTTTCACATGATCTCCGAAGGCCTGTTCACGTATTCTCGAACCTTGAATGGGCACTGTTCTCTCGTTGAATTCTTCGTCGGAATTTTTCTGCTTGGAAATCAATTTAGAGACGTGAACAGTTGCTGAGTTCAGATCGGGTTTTATTTTGATCAGTTTTGCGTTTTCAGCTTTCGGTTTTGTTTTTTCCAATGGATCCACTCTAAGAGATCCGATCAATGTTTTCTCAACGCCAAATCCATCGTAGAAATCTGGCAAGCCAAATCCAGGCGCTTCTGATTGCAATTGATTCTCGGTGTCCAGTATCATTGCAAACTCCGGTTCACTGGTTTGGAACTCAAGCAATGGCTCTGGCTCTTTGGCTATCGATGCCAGTGCTACTGAAACTTCAGTCACTTTAACTGTATGTCGCTTCGGTTTGCGGCTTGGTATAGACTTGGCTACTCTGGTTTTGCGACTTTGAACTGTCAGTTCCATTGGTCTTGCCCATTTCGCTTCGCATTCGACGACTTTGCCAAACTCATAATCAGTGACCAAAGATCCTTTGAAAGTTGAAATTTTAGGATGATGAAGAACATAAAAGTCTGTGCTTTGAGTGATGTAATTGAAAGAATATTTCAAAGGATACTGTTCAAGAATATTCTCCGGTTCTTCTTTTTTGAATTCGGAGTCAAGTTCTTTCAAGAAAGGGCTGAACTCTTTCGGTGTCATGATCTTGTCAACGTTTTCTTTCGGCATGGTCATCAACTTCTTATATAAGTTTTTAGGAATAACAACATCACGTTTAGGAATCAATGGTTTGGTCAGGACCTTGAAGGAGATCACTTTGTCGAAATGAGGCCTCAATTTCTCCAATTCTGGATCCTGTGGTGTTCTGGGATCTACCAGTGGTTGCACAATTTCACTCCTTTTACCAATTTCTGGATATATTTTTTCAGGAATGTCGAAAAAAGTTACTGAGTAAGTTGTTGTTGTAGTTCGGAGTATTCTTTCAAATTGAAGTTCAATAGTTTGTTTCGTGATCAATGAATCATCAGGATGTTTTCTGGGGTAGCTTAAGTCTTCGGGCAATTTCGGTGGATTTTCAGTTCCGGATTCTGATTTTGGTGTGAAAAAGTCAAGGTCGAACTGAGACCATGTAAAATCAGGTGGTGCGTCTAATCCTCTGGGTTTTTCTGTAGGCTTGATTTCATCAGTGAAGAACTTGATGGAACTTTTGAATTTATTCAGAGAAACGAATTTTCCGTGAACCTTCGGGGCGTAATTGGGCCTCTCAAAATTCATCGATGCCATGAACCCACGCAATTTAACAGACAAATCTTCTGGTTCAGGTGAAAACGTTCTCAGGAAACGTCGCATTTCGGGAGTCTTTTCCAATTCGGTGAAGTAAACAGTCAATAACTCTGGATCTATCAACTCAGAACCCGGTTCTTTTGGAGTCTTCCTTTCCACCGCTGGTTCTCTGAGTTGACCGGGGCGTCTCATGTCTGCTGGTTGCAATGGTCGGTTGCTTGTGAAGATCCAATCATATACAGTCAGGGCCTCCGGAGTTTCACCATCATCTGGAACACCTACCATTGGTTTCATTCTCTGAGTGATTTTTGGTTTTTTGAGATAACTCGAAAGTTCTCTTGTTTCATCTGGTTTCTTAACAGGGTGTAATACTGTTTCGAGGAAGATATCGTGCGCTGGGAGATCTCTTAAGGGCTCTTCGTCGATTTTGTTCATCACAATTCCATCAACTTCGTAAGTTTCAACTCCGAACATGGCAAATCGGAACAGAAGATCTGAGATGGTTCCCTCAACGCCATAAATTCTAGGAGTTACGTCATCTGCATCCTCAGCATCGATTAGTTCCACTGGGTTGATAGGCATTCTTTTAATCGATGTTTCATCTTCGCTTTGTGGTCTCTTCTCTTTGGAACTGAGAAGCCCTAACAGTTTCCCTGATTTGTCATATTTGGGATCCTTGATACTAGTCCCTGGAACTGATAGTCTCCAATTAGGCGGCATTAGCAACTCAGGTGTGTCGGCTAGATGTTTTGTTGGAGCTTTTCCTGGTTTGGACCATCTTTCAGGACCATAGAACTCGGAACTGCCAATCAAATCATCTGGACTGGCTTCAACTGGATCAGTGCTCCCCACAGATACCTCTTCGTTTTCATCGGGTTCTCTAACGTTTTCGCTATCCCATGGGGTTCGAGACGCTTTTTTAATCTTTTGATTATAGTTTATGACGTCACATACAAAACGTGCTGGCAACAATTTTCGGATTAATTTCTGCAGAATTGTGATGGTTACTTTATCTTTAGGTGTTTTCGTGTCACTTTCAACGTCATCCAAGTCTTCATAGGGAGAAAACTCTGGTTCCGCTGTGGATCGTTCGTCTGTGCAAGTGGGTTCTAAGATCCAACTTTTGTAGAGAGGACTTTCAACATCGACATTGATTTTATCAAAGTCTGCCTGAATAATCTGTTCAGTTAGGTATCTTTCTACCACCTTTTCAACCAATCGCACTGATTCTGGCCTTGAACTGTCATCCTCTGGTTTTGTGGTTTTTTTCTTGTCTGTTGGTTTTTTAGGCAATCCTTCCTTTGGCTTCAGGTAGCGGATCAAATTTTCAACTGATTTGATCAACCTTTGCGGCCTTTCAATCATTCTCTCATTAATTTGAATAGAGAATCTAACGCAGATTGTGACCTGTGTTCTCAATGCAAACATTTGCAGAGTTTTTAAGTTTTCAGGTTCACTTATGACTTCCGGTTTCTTTTCAGCTCCATCGTCCATTTCATCAGTTGGATTCTTGATCAATTCGGTCACCAGAACATTTCTCGCATAGTCAGTGAGTTCAGGCTCAAACATGTTGATCACGAGGAAACTGACCATTGTTGTCTCAATTAGCCGAATCATGTGCACAACAACTCTCAAGTCGATTCCCTTTGGAAGTTTTGACCTAATTTCGGTATCCTTTTCAAGCAGATGCAACGATGGTACGTAGTTGTAGCCTTTGCTTCTCAGAATTGTGTAGACAACGTTGCTTGAGTAAATCAAGGTCAATATCGCTCTTCGTTGTGTTTGGTTGGCGAAAGTTTCGGGAGTCATAAACTGCCATGCAAAAGACTCCAAAAGCATGCCAACTTTGCTCCACAACTCTTTTACGTAGAACTTAACCTTTTGGTTCACATATGTTCTTAGAATGATATCGCAAGGTTCAATGTCTGTATTCAAAATGGGAGAACTCATCTTTTGGTCAACTTCAACGAACTTCGAAACCGTTTCGTAGAAAGTGACAGGCTTGAATTTTGAGGCGTCCTCATTTGTTGTTGAAGAGACATCGGTGCGTCGCTTTGCAATTAAATTTATTTTTGCCGACAAATTCTCAAATTCTGTAAATTTGAACGATAGCCAGAAGGAAACCAAAATCCTCTGCAGAATTATTGATGTCTGTGTATTTCTACAATTCAAAAGGGTCGTATCTTCAGAAACAATTTTCGAGACATAAAATCTGTAAAACTGTTTTCGTACAGAATTCAAGACGTTTCTTTCTTCTTTTGACAAGTTTTCAACAATCCATCTAGCAAAAATTGGTTTTTCTGGGTCGGTTTCAAAAGCTCTGGTAAAGATGGAATCAGTATCTTTTCTAACTTTATCGTCAAAATCTAGATTTCTTTCGCGGTATTTTCGAACCCCAGTTTTTGTTTTTATAATTACTTCAATGTATTGTATCAATTTCAGCATATAAATTTTGGATGGATCTTCCAAAATTGACGTGTCTTTATCATCTTTGCTTTCTAATAGTTGTTTCTTGAGAATTCTCAAATGATCTTCTACAGTTTTTGTATTTTGAGAATCAGGCGCTGATTTCTTGTCTTTCAGAGTTGTTCTGGTTTTTATAATCATTTCAGGTGTCGCTTTTTCCACCCATGGGAAGATTGCATCATCGTCCAGATTTGAAATCTCGGTTATGTAATAGAGCAGCTCGTCTATTTCCGGTTCCAGGAAATCTTGGTTCTTCAAATCCAAGAATTTGATAACGAGGCTCACGAGTTGGTCTGTAAATTCACGTGGAATATTTTTCAGCTCTTTGATGATTATCAGTTCTTTTTTCACACATTCTTTGAACAATTTGTACCTTCTGATTTCTCGCTCATCTTGAAGCTTAGAAACTTCTTCAGTTTCCTGAGTCGGCTTTTCTTCATTGTTAGCTTCGGTTTGTTTTTCTTGAGGTCGCCATTGCAACATGTAGTAAATTTCCTCTCCCAACTCTTCTTTCCTCCAAGATTTCAGCTTTCTTTCCAGTTCAATTAGCTCTTTTCTCTGATTGAAGTAGGCCTTTTGTGACAAAAATTCTGAAATCTTGTCAACATCTTCTTTGTAATCTGAATCGAAATTCCATATGAGGTCTCTTCGTTTTTCGACCAGACTCTGTTCTTCTGAAATTTTTGGATCTTTTGTCGGCCCAGTAAGTTCTCTGCCTTCAACTTGAGTAATTGTTTTTAGAACTTCGTAAATTTCAAAAGGCTGAATAGTTCGTTTATGGAATCTTTTCTGCACAGTTTCGAGCAGAAATATCAACTCTTTCATCGGGATCTGAGTATCATTCTTTCCGACAAGAGCAACGGTGGAAATTTTGTGGGATTTCAGACACGGTTGCGAAATTATATCCTCGGGGAATTTCAGGACATCGTCATGCGTTTTGTCAAATTTCTTCAAACTTGATTCATTATTATCGAATTTCTTGTCTTCGTCAATTATTTCTCTCAATTTGAGGTCCAAATTGAAATTATCGGAATCAAAGACAGTCTGGCCAAAGTCTTGAGGCAACTCTGTCAGTTTGAATTTATTGTCGAAAGCAACATGTCCTTTTAACTTAGTCAAATCAGCACCCTCTGGCAGGTATCCGCAAGTTTCCAAGATCGGATTCAGGAAGTCAAGCTCAATCTCTCCTCCCATTCGCCTCAATTCTAATTCCGGGTCGGAATCGAATATCTCGGAGTCAGATTCCTCCGATGATGTCGAGTAGCTTCTAGGGGCCCTCTGGCTTCTTGGTACCTTGGACCTTGCAACAAAATCAGCTTCGTCGTCACTGCCCTCGATTGTTCTGTAGTCAGTTCCTTCATCTAGAGTTCCGACTCCTGATGATCTGGTATCCGACTCTTCGGAACTCTCGTCTTCAGAGTCCGATAGGGAAGGCTTCAAGGCTTTTTTATGAACATCCAGTTGCTTATCAAGTTTGGTCTTTAATGCTTTCATTCGGTCTGCGACTAGCTTGTCAATCTTCGCTTGTATCCTGATGTTGCTTTCTTCTTTCGATCCGCAAAAGTATTCGTAAATTATGATGTACCAAGTTTCAATTAGCTTGATGGTCGGATAGTCGAAAACTCGAGTCCTATCGAGCTCGTACCCAGGCGAGAACATTTCATATTCCGACCATTGATGCAAATCTTCAACCATAACCTGTAGATCTCCTTTCGGCCCATGCTCGTAACTTCCGACTATATTCAGTTCCCAGGGATTACCAGGACCGTTTGGAAGTGAGAAAATAAACTGGCAGAAAAGGTCCCAAAATAATCTCGGATGATCTTTAGGCCACATGCGCAGTATGTTTTCAGCAATGGGCAAAATACCACGTATTTGGGTCGGATCTGTCCTTGCTTTTCTCAACTTTTCGTTCAAAAGAGATCCTGTAACTTCTAGCGAGATTGGGATGAAACGTTTCTCGAGCCAAATATGCTCAACCGGCTTTTCTAAAATCTTGCCGAGCTTTACGACAATCGCTTCGTCGATTGTATGTGTATTCATTTTCTTGTCTGGTACAATTTGAAGATCAACTCTTTCCATTTTAACAGGTTTGATATATTTGGCTGATTGCAATTCAATTTCATCCTGCTTCGGCTTCGAGCTGATCCTCGATTCCCTCATTAGCCTAGAAGTAAAAAGGTTTTCTTTTGCGACGAAAAGCTTCGACGGTTGGTCGATTTCTTTCTGATTTGGTAGTTGTTCGGCTTTGAACCACTCGATTATTCCTTCACGTGACGTGTGAGTATCATCACTTGGGAACTCGTCGGGAGCTTCTTCAAGGTTATCGGGAGCATCGGGAGCAATTATTTCTTCATCTTCTAGAATCGGCATGTGATCGAAATGGACAGGTGCTATTGGTTTCGTTTCAAAGAACTCTCCAACATCGTTGTGTGCAACGTCGCAGTTCAGCACAAGTCGATAATACAACGGATGCTCATTATCAGGTGTGAACAAGTTTGGATCAGGCGTGGGTTTTCCACCGCACCTTTCGCTTTCGACTTTCACTGGTACAGGATCCGCACGTTCCTGGTTATTCTGATCTTGAGGTGTTGTTTCCAGTCCGTTTGAAAGAATTTTGGCCAACAATTCCGTAGGTTTTGGTAGTTTTTCAATGACCTGAATTTTATCAATTTGAACAGATACAGGCTTCTTACCTAAGGCATCTGTCTTTTCAGTCAAGACAGTTCTCATTTCAGGCGCCGCACAAATTCTTTCACTTGGTTTCAAGGCGATCGTTCTAAGTTCAGACTGGGCGTTGGTTATAGGTCTACACGTTTCCATTTCCGGTGCGACATTGACTTTTTCAACGCGCTGCGTTGCCGTCATTTTTTCAAATTCATTGGTACAAATAGCAAGCACGTCATTTTCTGTGAATTCGGCTTGGTTTAATTTGTCCAGAGACTCTTCATCGACGCATTCGGGCTCCACGTCGTCCAATTCTTCCAGGTACTGAGGTATGTATTCTTTTTCTTCTGTAAGAGCTGAAAGCTCAAAGTCTCTTTTTTCAGTAGCTACGTATAATGGTTCCACTATTCTTGTCTTTGCCAAATGAACCGGCTTTGTCTTCGTGATTACGACCGGTTCCGTAGTTAAAAGTGGAAATTCCTCAATTTTTGCGACTGCGTCTCGAATCTCGTCAAAAAATGGTTCGTCAAGTGTTGATTCTACAGGGGCAGATTCCACGGGGGGAGAAAGGAACATCGGAATGGTTTCATCATAAAACTCGGGCGCTTTCGTCCACTCGATTCCTTTTTGCTCGGGAACTGATTTGACAAGAACTCTGTCGGTGACCCGACTCAAAGTTTTTGTGATTTCGTTTGCCATTATCGCTTTGTCACAAGTGTCCAGCGGTTTTTCATCAGGAAGTTTTTCCAATTTTTCAGAGACGTATCCATTACCTGACTCGAGAGGAAGAGCATCGGTGTGATCACAATCAACTTCCGCCTGAACTAAATCTGAGGCATCAGGTTCTACCATTTCTCCTATATCGGGTTCGTCATCTGATAGCTCATCCAACTTAACTTCCGGGATTTGAATTTCGGTAACGTTTGCGATTGAAATAATCAGTTTTTCATTTGTAATTTTGTAAACAGGCTTGTCCTTTTCTTTCTGAGCTGAGGCTTTTTCTTCATTCTCAGGTTTGATATTTGGATCAATTTTTTCCGTAAAGGTCGAGTCCAGGCTGTCGTTATTAAGAGCTAAAATAATCTGCTCTTTGATCACGGCGTTTTCGAGTGAACTTTTTTGTGAGAATAACTCAGCGTTTTCTGAGAATTTTTCAGGTGATTTGATTTCTCCGGGAGCTATAAACGCGATTGGTTGCTGGTGGGCCAAACTCAAAATCGAGTTTCGTTTCACAGTTCGGCTATGATTCAAAGTCGGCTTCTCGAGCTCTTTCGCGCATGTTTCAAGACTGGGCTTTTGGTCTTCAAGGGAAATAGGTTTACCTAGTTTCATCCATTCGACATTTAGTTTTTCTAATGGTAAGGCTTCGTATATGTGTTCTGTGAAGTTACATGTCATTTCTTCTTCAGGAACTGACTCAAGGTCAACTGTTTTGGGTTCCGAAAGTTCAAGTTCGTCTAAGTCGACCATTTTCACTTGCTTTTCTTCGGCAGAGAAAACGCTCGGCTCATCGTCCAGAAAGTTTATTGGCTGATCCATTAAGTCATCCTTCTCAACTATCATCGGCAGGATTTCTTCTGACATATCTGGAACCTTCTTGATTTTTCCAGCTGTTATCCATGAAACAGGCGCGGTTGATTGAGGCATTGCTTCCACAATTAGCATGCTTTCCGAGCATTTTGAATTCAAAATTTTAGCGTCAGAGTCCCTAAGAGTTGCATTTTCTACATCTGGCTCCTCCAAGGGCTTGCATGCTTGCGGCTCCAGGAGATATCCGAATCTCGAGGTGCTTTCCTGTATGTCTGGGAAGTCCATCGGAATTCCACTTTCCACTTTTGATGTGTTTTCGATCATAAATGCCTCGTCAATCATAAAATCGATTTCCAATTTCTCACAGTTGTAGTATTCAATCTCAAAGGGGTTAACAGGCTTAGCATCCGTGAAGTCTTCAGTTGGGAAAGCAACATTCTCTGCCGTTATTTCTAGAGTTTCCCTCTCATTTATGGTTGTAATGAGTTGCAATAAGTCAAAAGCATGCAGCATAGGCGTGACCAAATCCTCGTTCGACATCGCGACCGCATGCGTTTCGGTCATCTTGTGACTTTGAGCTTTGGACATCTGTTCAATTTCAGTTGCCTGGGAAGTTTCTTTTCTTGTTTCGACTAGGTTACAAATGAAAGTATTCCGGTCGGCGTATGCAGCAACTGAAATTTGCAGATCGACAGTTGTTTCTTCGACAGGATCATGCAACCCAGGTTCATAACTAGCCAGTGCTTTTTCAGGTGGCTTTTCGCAGAAAATATCTGAGTCGCAGTTGAAGTACGGTAAAGCGTCATTTTCAGTATTTGCTATTTCCGAATCTTGAGTATGGGATGATTTTTCAAGGGTATTTTCCTCAACAACTTCAGCAAAGTCGTTTGGAACTAACTTGATTGGAACAGTTTCAAAGACAGTTGAAGAACTCCATTTAATATCTTCAGGTTCAACAGGTTCGAGCTCAACGTTTTTCATAATTTCAGACGCTTTTTGTAGGCCAACTTTGAGATCATCCGCAATATCTGTTCGTTGAGGTGTTTGTGCAAACACTCTTGGATTCAAATCCAGAACGACGCCAAAATGATGCTCACTGGCTGTATCTGGCAGGGTTACAACATGCAAATTTCCTTCTTGTTCTAGAATCATTTCGTCTACTTGCGACTCTTGTGGCAGAGATTCTGGATAGAACGGAACCACGAGTTCCGATTCCAGGTCTTGCATTGTTGCAACCGAGAAAATGTCAATACGTGACTCTAAATGCTCATATAGACGTGTTTTTTGCTCCTTTTCGCGAACTTGGCTGGTTTCAGAACTTGGCAAAACAGTTGCGAAAGAAACAGCTTGTGATTCAAGATCTGCTCTTGCTATGATTGGTTGCATCTTTGCCTTCGGGGATTTTGATTGGTCATTGTTCCAAGATCCTTTCGCTCTGTCAAGCTCAAATTCTATTAGTTCAGTTTCCTGGTCACGCAACTCAGTGCCTCGGATTTGGTCGATTGATTTTCCTTCGACAACCCTTGCAAGTTTTTCATATTCGAGTTCGGTTTCCTCGTGTACTTCAATCTCAGCTTTGTCTTCTGGTTTCCGATATCTAAGCTCGCCTTCGTTTTCGAATGGTATCTCGACTTCTTGATAGCAGCACAATGCTGCATTTAGATCATCAGAATCTAACTCAACAAACTCAGTTCCCATAAAATCTTCAACTCGAGCAATTTGTTCAGTCTTTTCATTAAGTTGTCGGCAAATTCCAGTTTCGACCCATTTTAGATCGACATTATCGATCGGATCTCGAATGTTAACTTTCGGCGTGAAAAGTTTAGTATCATTTGCAGTGAAAGTCGTGAACACTTCTTGTTCGGCATGAGTGGTCATCGGGCTGACTTTATCGGCTTCGAACGTTATCAGAAGTTGAACTGAATCTTCGTCCATAATGCAAGTTTTCCTCAAAATAAAATCTGTTTTAGCTTCTTCTAAAGGCGCGTAGTTTTCAATTAGATCGGCAGTTATAGACTTTTTGTCTCTTAAATCGGCAATGAGATTTGACGATTCAGCTTTATCGTCGACAATTTCGGCTAAGCAGGTGATCGCATTGAAGGTATCCGGGATTTTGTGTGTTTCTTCAGCAAAGCTTTCAGAATTCATTTCTTTGTATTTTGGTTTCGGCAGCGTAAAATCTGCTCCTCTGTTATCGTCAAAAGCTAAGCAAGCCGAACTCAAAGGTAGATTTTCTTCAAATCTCTCGTTAGAAGGCTCAGGAACTGAATTTTGGACGCATTTCTGGACTTCGGAAACCACAGGGTGTAAAGGTCCTGAATACAAATCTGGCAATACATGCTCGCCTACTATAGCTAATTTAAAATCAGCATCCTCTTTAGGAGGCTCTTTGTAAATCCTTTCCTTGAACGTTGGCTGAATTGGTTCCTCGTTTAGTTCATCATCTGGTGGTTCCATTTCGAGCCAGTCTTCTTGAATGGGTCCATCGATTTGGTCCACAATTTTGTGCTCGAATTTTGTCGCTTGTTTTCCAAGACCCTGTTCTTTGAAAAGCACCGCCTTTTTAGTCTTCGGCTGAATAAAATACCCATCGTCTTCGTGGTTTTCTACTTGCTGGACTTTCGGAAACTGCGGTCGACCTCTTGCAAGCACTTGAGTTTCTGACTCGTCAGCTTCGTATAACTCGGCTTTTGGATCCTCTTCCTGGGTTCCAGGCGTAGCACGTTCGGGTTTCTCAACCGATCGGGGTTCGGCGCAATCCCAAAACAGACAAGCCTCTTCAGCGGTGTAAACATGTGGTTTTTCAACTCTAACGGGTCGGTTTAGAGTTTCTTTCGGGTCGAGAACGTCGAGTAGACTTGCTGTATATTTTTGTTCCTCGGGTATTAAAAACTCGGCAAGCGATGTTAAAGCTAAAAATGCGTCGTCGGGCTTAGCCAGACGCTGCTGCGACTGCAAAGTTCCTTCATAAAACTTCATATCAAAAACCCCAAACGCAGCAGTAACGTTAGATCGTCGTGAAAAAGGCATAAAATCAACACTTTGAAACGGAATTTCCAGCTCTTGGACCGATGCAAGAGTAAAATTTAAATCGTAATCCGGTTCGGCGTTCAAAATATTACCAATAAGAGATTCCTTGTCGCATTTTTCTGGTTCTGATTTTTCAGGAATCCATTCTGATTTTTCAGGCAGACCTTCTTTCAAGGTCATCAAAGGAAGAGCCCCGCAATGAACTTGTCTTGGTTTTGGCAACTGTTGCTCAATTTCTGTAATCTCTGCTATTGGAGCGTCTTTCGTTTCATCTCCGAACTGTTCAGCCACAACTTCTTGCATTTCAACTTCAAAGATTTTAACTCGTCCATAAGGGAAATGATCATATCTCCAGTTCCACTTTTCAGAATATTCGTCAACAATTTTCCCGCATTCATTTTCAGGAGCTTTTGGTTCCTTCAGAGGCATAGGAATTAACCAATTGATTTGCAGGACGTTTGCAAAATTTTCAGCTTTGTGAGGCATGATGTTTGCTTTCTTTGGCTTTTTGGGCAGTTTCTCAATGTTGCAAGCCAAAACATGCGACGCAGGAGTGGCAAATATGTCTTCTTCTATGACGGGCGGAGGAATGGACTCCAAGTTGTCATCTGTCGTCATGGGAATGAAATCATCGCCGTCTACTCTGTCAACTTCGTTAAAGTCAACAAAGTTCATGGTTTTAGTTCGTTCGAGGTTCAATTGTTTCACTGCATCTTTGACATTCAAAACTCCAGTTTTTTCTGTCATTTTATGGGTCTCCAAGTTTGCGTAGATGCAAAACACTGGAACTTTGCTTTGGTCGGCTTTATAAACGTCGTCTGTTTGCAATTCGGCCTGCGGTTTTTCAGTAAAGTCATTATAGAGAATCATGGAAGTCGTGTCATATGGGATCCAAACGTCCAGGTATGCACTGAAAGTCGGCTGCAGGTTATCGATATTGGTGAAAAGTGGATCCGCATTGTACGCTTTAACTGAATGAGTTTCTTTGTCACGAGTGAAAAATGGAAAGGAGAAGGTCGATAAATCTTTTCCTTCAATCGCCATTGAGAGTTTTATATCTTGGGACAAAGAGGCATACGGAGTTTTTTCAGAGCCCATTGATAGTTCTGCTTTGTCTGATTCAGGCGGGTATCCGAAATCGATTTCTTCGATGAACTTCAAATCTAAGTACACGATGTCTTCTTGGCCAACAGATTTGATTACTTTCGGCTCCGCAATGTCAAAATGAGGAGGCGAGTCCCTTTTCAGTTTTGCAGTTTCAACGTCTTTTAAGGGCTTTTCGGCTTCGTACGTTTTGTTCCAAATGATCGCTTCGCTTACGCATTGCAAAGCTTCGGTTTCAGTAAAAGTTAGAGTTCTTTCGAATAGTGTTGTTTGATGTACTAAAACATTAGTTTTTTGATCCGCTTCTTCTAGTTTTTTGGTATTTCCATGAATTGGCCATAAATTTCTGGTTGACTTGTTATTGGCTTGAATTGGTCGAGTTGTGATTTCCGAAAACACAGAGTTGAACTCAACTTTCTCAATAGTTCTAAGAGCCCTGCCAAACTTTCGATCAACTTCAATTTCATCGGCCTTTAAGTTCGGCTCCTCCGGTTGTTCAACAATTTGCGGCGCGCAATACGAGACGTCTTCATTTTCTTCGGAGACTAAAAGTTCGGGGACTTCTTTGATATCGTTGCATTGATCCAATTCGATTGTGAAATCTTCACTTTCAAGAACTTGATCATCAGGTTTCAACGGCGCACAAAGCACAACTTCATCCGTGACTCGGGTTTCGCGAACCAATTCATCATTTTCTGTTGAGCTCGCGGCGAATTCAAGCTCTGAGATTTTGATAACCAGAGAATCTGGAACACTTGATTGTAGATTTCCAAAATCATGAATGCTTACAGTGCTTGAAATTCCGCTTTTGCCTGCCTTTAACGCCTCTTTTGAACTTCCAGGAACTGGCAAGGTACCAAATTCTTCCTGCAACCAAGCATGATCCGCAATTTCAACAGGAATGAGGATTGTTTCTGCATTAGCTTCTTCGTCTTTATCAATTATATCGTCGGCAAAAACGAGTCCTGGAACTTTCTCGGATTCTGCTTGTTCCTCAGTTAATGAGTAGTCTATAGGATCCGTGAAACCCCATTGAGTGTCATCTTCAGGCGCTCTGGCCAACTGGGTTCTCTGCGACATCTTCGAATCTTTTTCGTCAGCTATGAATTCAAGAACATCACAAGATTCTTTCTTTTCAGGGAGCTTGAGCTCGGAAGCAACTTCATTCTGCAATCGAATCTCAAGATATTCGTGCACTATTTCAAGTCGGTCATTAGTTGCCAGGGCTTCGCAAGATTCGTTCACTAAGGTAAGATCTTGTACTTGGACCCATTTTTGAGATACGACAAACAAATCTGGCGTCATTGAGCTAAAACCTCTAACTTCGTGCAAAGCTAGTTCTGGATTTTGATCAACTTTCCCGCCCGTTTGGTCGCCTGAAGGTTGATCCGGCTCAGCAAAAATGTAATCATCAGCCGTAAATTCTGCCATTTCCTCAAACGGAATATCAAGCACCTCTGCGAAACCTAGTTTGAACGGGGTTGCATCTTTTTCCGGATCTGAGCTTCTAACTTCTCGTACATTCACTACGCTCGGCATCTGAGATTTTCGGGATTCCAGAGCTTCAACAGGTTCGTTTAATTTTATTTCGGCTTGTTGAGCACGGAAGAGTTGTTCGGCTTCGGGGAACTCCATTGGAGCTTCGGACATTACAACACCCGAATCTTCTATCGGGAAAAGTTCTTCCTCATAAGCGGGCATTATGTTGTCCAGGGCATTTTGCCATTTGATCGAGGCTTCGAAGTACTTGAAAGCAACATCGGCTATTTTTTCTTTAGTTGTATTGACCGTGTCGTTTTGTTCATGTATCGTGACTAGCGCTTCTTCCGGTTTCTTTGGAAGTTCAAAAGATTTGAGCTCGATTTCATTGAATGCATTTTCATGTGCTGCACTAAGAATACTTCGGGTCTTTTCTTTAACATAATTCAAAGTCTTGGTAAAAGGTTCCTCTTTCGAAAAAGCTGTTTCTGTGATTCTTTTGGCATCCAGCGGGTCCAACTTAGTCAGAATTATTTCGCGGGTCTTGTTCAAAGCTCCGAAAACTCTCATCACAGGTTCGATTGGTTTTGCAACTACAGCTTTGCCTTGGCAATTTGTTTCTGCTAAATGCGCTTTCGGGTATTTTTCTTTTGGAATCAAGCTAGTTCCATTGATTTGTATTGCCTTTTCAACTCCCAAAGCGTCTGTTTTGGCTTTTGTTTCGTCTTCCATGGTCCAAAATAAATTCTCATCGCCTGCGTGTTCTTCACAGAAATTCTCTTCATCGTCTGACATACCATCAGTCTCTTCAAATCTTATCACACCTTCAGATGCTGAGGCCTGTCTAGGTTCATCGTCAGGAAACGAAAAGGGAGCCTCTGATAGCAGTTGGCGGCTTTCTATGATTTCTGGAAAAAACGGCTCCTCTTCGGGAATTGAAAAGTCCTCGGCTTTTAAGAGCGTGAACGAGTCTATTTTGCCTATTGCATCACGCCAGTCGGTGTTTTCAAGAGCTGTACAAATCTCCGAGTCCGAAATTGGTTCTACGTCAGCGGCATCGCGAAACGGATCCGTCTCAAAAAGAGGCGCTCTAAGTTCGGATAGAACAATTACTTCAACCATGCCGTATTTCTTCATGTCTTTTTCATGAACACCGGGGTTCAAACTTAGGTCAACTTTTGTCAATTTGGGTAAATCTTGTGCTTTTTCTAAAGGCAAAACTGAAGCACGGGTCCAAACTGTGGGATTGAATGGCAAACCTAAGGCCGTCGAAATGAGTTCATTTATATCTGATAGAACATTTGCACATTCTCTTCCAGTTGTTGAAACATCAGGAGATTCTAGTTCCGGCTGCGATTCGAGCGGTGATGACTCTTTCCAAGAGTCTTTGCAGTCTAGTGGCAGAGCTTCATGAACGTGGATCTTTGTTTTGGCTTCTTTAAGATCGTTGCCTTGATAGTTTTCGACTTCAGTGACAACTTCTCCAAATCCTAGAGCCTTCGGCTCGATGTTCAAAATTTTTTCCTGCATTGGTGTGATTGGTAAAACTTCAGCTGAACATAAAGCCGGTTGTTCTTGGTCTTCAAGTTTCTCATCAAACGGATCGATTCCTGCAGATTGCAGCGGCTCTTCGCATAGAAACATTGGCATTACTTCGTCGTAAATCTCCAGACATTTCTGGTATTCCACTGACTTTTCTAGTCCAGTGGATACAATAGGTTTGCTAGCAGACCGCGCCGTTTCAGTGTTTATTTCCCGAGGAACAAAGTGTATAAAACTCAGTTCTTGAGGTTTTTCAACAGTCAAGACCTCAGTCTTTAGGCTAGGGACATTTTGGGCTACGATTGACAGGGCGGATGTTGAATCTTCAGTAATAATCTGTTCAGACGGCGCGACGAATTCTTTGGCAAAATGTGATTGGTCAACTTGGTCTATTTCAAATGGAATTTCATCAGTAGCCACATCAGGAGTTTCGAGTACAAAAGCTGCGCATTCTACTGAAGTTTGTTCAGCTTGGGCTTCATATGGGCAATTATTTTCTACGTCATTTACAGATACTTGTTTTAGATCTTCAGGAAGTTCAAGATAGAAAAATTCTTCGGGTATGGGTCCAATCCAAGATGTTTGAGTTTCTTTTCCAATTGACAGTTTATATTTGTAGCCAGGAGTTGCTATGGATGGTTCGGGATCATTAATGGAGTCAATCTGAGGTAACTCTACATTTAAATCTGGGTCTGTCATGAACTGAGCAGCTTCCTTTAAATCAAACCCTTCCAGAGCTGCTCGGCCCAGATTGCAAGTATTTCTCATCTTTGCTGTGTCTTTGATTCCGGTGAAGCTCTTCACAGAATTTTCGGGTTCTTTTTCCGTCTCAACTTTTTCAGCTCGGAACCAAATGTTCAAATCCTCGACACGAATCATGTTCTCTGAAACTGCTTCTTCTGGAACTATAGGAGATGACAAGAGATCCAACAGTTCTTCAAAATCTGCAGTTTCCTGCTGCATTTCAACATCAAACGTTTCGAGATTAACGTATAGCTCAACCTCGGTTCCTTTGCTGCCGGGATCCTCGTCAAAGAGATCGGTTGGAGTCGACTCAACGTCGTTGTTTGGAGGAGCTTCTTCCAGTATTTCTTCCTCAATCAAATCTGGATCTCCTTTAGTTTGGCAAAACTCTGGCAGAACCCAAGGAAGCTCTTTAGATGTATCTTCAAACCAAAATGCATCCAGCCCTCTGCATGTATACAACGAAATATCTCTTTCTAGTTGTATGACGTTCATTTTTGGTTCTTTTTGAGACTTGATCTTAGGCAAAGTTTTCTTGGATTTGGGCCGGTTTTCAAGTTCAGGAGCTTCGAGAAGATTAAACGATGGTTTTGCAGCAAACGCGACTATTGGTACCACTGCTTTAGTAGGAGCTTTAGCCAAAGAGGGTTCTAGGTTTGTCTTAATTGCCCGGTCCTCTGGCAATGGTGGTCTCTGCAATTTTTCCGGGGCCTTAAACATTAACTGCACATCATCCGCAGCGCAGATAGCATCTGTCCAATCTGTGAACGTTTGCGCTTCAGGAGTCGCAAATGTTTCTGGGGATTCTTCAACTATAGATTCAAATGTTGGCTCCTGAATATCATCGAGATCTATGGATTGCATTTGGTTTAATTCTGGAGCGCACATACTTGGAACTAGCTTGTCTGAGACCTCGCGCCACGGAACAAAATTATCAATTTGATCATACACCTCGCATGTTTCAGTAGGTTTCTCAAGGTCGTTGAGCTCAGCTGTTAAAACTGGGAAAAGCACATCCGGTTTATCAAGAGCTTCGTAAATGTGCTCTCGAACTGACGCTTTAACAGTAGGGAAATCATCAGCATCCACGAGTTCCGCAACTGAAGGTTCAATGCTAAAGTCAGAGCTGGTAGCTGTTGGTATCGTGACTTCAGCGGAAACCATCAAGGACTGTTTTGTCTTATCCGCTACTGCTGGTTTGATTTCGGAACAAACAACAGTATCGACTCGTTCTAAAATATGCTCCATAACTGGCAGTGGCTTAGCGCGATCCCCGGTAAATAATTCTTCGATGATTGACAAGCACTCGACTGGTAACTCAAAACATGTTGCCTCGTTTTCAGAGAGTTCAAAAGCGTCTTGTGGTTCAACTGAATCTTCAGGGAAAATTGGATTGAATTCATCAACTAGGATATCTGGAAATTTATCATCGAAAGCAAAACTTTCGGACTGGTTTGAAAAATCAACTTCCGAAGTCTGGAGCGACTCCTGGACATCCGATTCCGTCAGCTCGACAGCCGGTTGTTCTGGTACAAATATCTGGGTTCCATGGTCAAACAATCGGTCTTCGAACATCAAAGGGCGGCCAAGTCTAAACGCTTCGGCTGTCAGGGCGTAAAACATATCCGGGTAATGCCAGTAGGCATCACATTTAGCCTCTCGCTCGTGCTTCGGAATCGTGAAATCAAGTGAAACCATAACCGGAAGTTGTCCTACTTTACTCAGCGCGGGATGCGAATCTTCATTGACTTGATCGGCTTGCTTATGATCTACTTGGTAACTTCTTTTTGATCGATCAGTTTTTACCAAGCTTTCGAGGTTAAAAGTTTGCGCAAACGAAAATTCTTCAGTAGGCAGAGCGTGAATGAGTTCATCGCTGTATACTTCGCGCTGATTGGCTGAGAGTACCGGTTCAGGACTAGCGAATGAGAAACTGATTTCAACAGGAGTGTCAATTTCGTCAACTTGATCTTCAATCGGGTTGCGCATTACGTAACCAGTCGTTACTTCGGGAGTGGAGGCGTTTCGGTCGAAGTATATCACAGTAAACTGGTTCAGTTTGACGAAGAAAAGAGTTTCCTTGCTGATCGGTTCCAGGTCCAAGAGCTGTTCCAAAACTTCAATTTTCTTCAAGTTTTCAGGCACGCGAGGCGAGCTGTAAATAGCTTTCATCATGTTCACGTGTTTCCTAACTAGATATCCTCGAATTACCGCCTGGCAGGTGATCAAATCAGCTTTGCTTTTTTTGTTGTCGTATCGAGCTCGAATCCAGTTATCGACCGTCATGTCAATCGGCAGTTTGACTGGTCTTTGGATGTTCAATTGACGCCAAACGTAGTAGTCCCGGTTGAAATGTTTCTGGTCTGCGCTTGTGATGGCGTTTACGAGGAGCACGAATGTTTTCGGCGAGTATGTTCCCACTGGAGTTGGGGCTCGGAGTCGGATTTGGGACAGGACGTCTACGGGATACCCGATTTCGGAGGTGTTTAGATTTCTACATAAAGTGATCGTTTCTAAACAAGAAAAGGAAAGAATGTGCTTGTTTGCATTTTTAGAGTCATATTTTCAGAGGACTTGCTTAGGTTTCCCATGGAGTACAAGGAGCTGATGCGTTAGATTTCAAAACCGTTTTCATGTTTTTCGAGAATCTATTTGCCCAAACTTCAGCACCACGACAAAATTTTTCACAAAAGTATCATTTCATTAGAATTTTTGCGAAAAAAAATTAAGATAGAGAGTTATTCATCAACTTGCAAAATGAAATCTCCAGTGCGTGAGATTTCCACCTCGCACGGCAAACAGCTGTTTAGTCCTCGATTAATAATTAAATGTAATTATCAGGTTTATTTTTCTAGGCTCAGAGGAGTTGCCTCACCCTCAAACAACAACTAATAATATTTGTGGTTTTTTTTGGCTATCACTACCTTTCTCTTGATTGAAAGACCATTGCTGTGGCCATTGGATCTACAAAACAATTCCCCATTCAAGAAAGAGTGGTAACTGTTAGAAAGTAGATAAGGCTACTCGAATTTTCGACCACTCAAAATGCAACAAAAATCGAACTTTAAATAACGCACTTGTGCAAACTTGCTGCTTTTAATGTTAGGGGTGGCAATTCTTCAGCAGATGCCAAAGAGCTAGGGGGATTGTCGCCACCGTAACTGAAAAACCTTAGAGATATTTGTGCGAGTCATGGGGACGGATTCTTTGCACTACTTTTAGTGCTTTTTACACGGTCTTTTTAGAGCTTTTAGAAGCTCGGAAAATCATTTTGGTTGACTTCCGCCGCCAAACCCCCCCCCTCCCATCCGAGAAAACCCTAGATCGTCCCCCGTTGCGAGTGGTTATAAGCTTTATTTCTTGGTCAAAACAAGGAGAGCCGCTGAATGAGCATTTCAGACATTTAAGCTGAGATTTAAAACGGTAACGATAAAGTAGAAAAAATAACAAAGCAAAATTTTTTAAAAGTAACTATCAAAAATAACTCTTTTCTTCATTCAGTACTTTTTCAAGATAAGATACAATCGAATTAGGTATAATGCTGCAATATCGAGAGAATACTTGCTAAATTATTCTTCATGAATATTTGCTAAATTAACCTGCGCTGTGTAATCTGGTCTCAATATGATTTCCATGTAATTTAGTCTGAAAAACGGAAACTTTCAGATTAATTATTCTCGACGTCAAGACATTTTTTGAGTTTTTTTGGAAGTCGCCCACCAATAGGGCTTTCATGAGATACCACCTTTGACCACGTGCGAGCTCTTTTTGAGATCCGCTTCGGGCAAAAAAAAAACAAGCTAATCCATAGTTCCTTCCTTTCTAACTCGGG